CTACCTTGGCGTTACAAGCGCCGTGCTCTACCAGCTGAGCTACAGAGGACCACACAGTAAAGAAGAAGAAAAATCCCCAATAGTTCCCAAATTGTTTGCAAAGAAAAAAAGGCAAAAGCCTATTCAGATGTAGTACACAGTAATCATGCTGGCTAATCCTGGTCATTTAGACAGTGTCCTTATTGCACAGGAAATTGTGCTTTCAGTCATTCACAAACCTAGACCACTATTCATAGATTTGACTCCCTTTGTGTTTCAGTCATCAAGCCTTGAAATTGGCAGGAAAATTTACAATTATTAAGAAAAACATAAAGCTCACAGAGTTTTTGATCTGTTATATAAACTATCTGAATTGATGACATGGAATATGGCTACTCTTCCTTTCATGAATGCTTGCACTGGCCTCCTTTAGGCGTTTGTAAAAACACCATTACTGACACCTCACCTCTATGTCTGAACATGTCATTCCCAGCAACACCTCCTCATCCCAACACGTTCTCAATTAACCCAGCAAATCCTCCCACCTATTTCCCAGTGGGGACATACACCTCGCCAGTCAGAGATCCCTCTTAGTGGAGATGTTAATGTGAACACACACTCAGGGTAAATAGAGGCACACGATGCAGCAGAGATGAGGGGGAGAGGTGTTTCCTTGCCATTAACGAGGGTGTCTGCTTAGTGGCTGTCATGAACATTTCACAATCACTCATACCCTTAGATTGTGCAGCTTTCAACACGTTCCCAAAGAGAAAAACATAACCATGAAAAACATTGGTTCAAAACCAGAGGAGGCTGGTGGGGGCAGCTATAGGAGGACAGGATCATTGTAATGGCTGGAATGGAATAAATGGAACGGAGTCAAACACGTCCTCCCACCAGCCTACCCTGTTCAAAACATGTAGCATGAAATTAAAACATCAGCACAAAATACTTTGGTGACCACTTTCATATCCAATTACAAGCATCTTATCTTGTTTTTTCATGTCAAATGGTTCAAACCATATACGGCTCTGGGCTGGGTTTCCCAAAAGCATCGTAGCACTAAGATCATCTTAATTCCACTGAAACTCAATGGGCGAAAGATTATCTTAGTGCTACGATGCTTTAGAGAAACCCAGCCCTGGTTCAAACTTGCCCTTGTCACCCACCTGAAATTATTTTGATGTGACACTAGTGTGCTGTGCACCTCCCTTTGAACTGCAGCCTTCCCTCTCTTGACCAGCTAATGAAAAAATTCACTGTCTTTGTTGGCATCTAGTGGAGAGATTATGACAATGCAACTCCCATGAGCAAATCCACTTATCAACGTGGTGGTAGCGATGGCTATTTTATTGAGGGCCCTGGCAGTCTTCATGGATATCTGTATGTGCTTTGTTTGTTTTATAAGATGTTGATGGTTGTGCATTAGTAACATGTAGTCATTCTAATGACTTCCTTGACTTACCTTAACGAATGGCCTTCATCTCACTCAGTTTGGTTTTCCAGGTCACACCAGTGTCTGTCATCTCTGCCTGGACATCTCTCCTTTAAGTGTTTCTGAGTCGACCACTCTTTCTTTAGCAATAATAAAAACATAAATTAACATTTATTCAACAAACTTATTTAGTCACATTCAAGGCAGGTATTTCAGTTTGACATCAAGACATACATTGATTATCACTGTAATGGATGTAAAGTGGAAATTACTATGTAATACAAATAATAATTTATATTAATAAAGCCATCACTTTATCACAAACAGAGCTGACCATGCCACATTCATGTAAAACCCAATGCCTGGTTTTGCATAATAATATACTGTACAAATAAAATCATATTTACAAAAGCACTTCAATGCTATGGAAGATATTTTTCTGTATTCAAAATAACACACATCATTTTATTAATCTACACCTGTACAAGATCAACATTATTCTGCGGAGTGTCAATGGTACCACAATGGCTGGTGTAAACACAATTCATCTGTGCTACATGTTTTGAAAAGTGCAATTATCCAATTTGTAAATCCAGTGAGCCATGGGTGCACTAAATATGGCATCATACACTATCTATACAAAAGTATGTGGACACCCCTTCAAAATAGTGGATCTGGTTAATACAGCCACACCCGTTGCAGACAGTTGTACAAAATGGAGCACACAGCCATGCAATCTCCATAGGCTAACATTGGTAGTAGAATGGCCTTACTGGCGAGTTCAGTGACTTTCAACGTGGCACCGTCATAGGATGCCACCTTTCCAACAAGTCAGTTCGTCAAATTTCTGCACTGCTGGAGCTGCCCCGGTCAACTGTAATTGCTGTTATTGTGAAGTGGAAACATCTAGGAGCAACAACGACTCAGCTACGAAGTGGTAGGCCACACAAGCTCACAGAACGAGACCGCCGAGTGCTGAAGCCATCAAAATAATCTGTCCTCGGCTGCAACACTCACTACCGAGTTCCAAACAACCTCTGGAAGCAACCTCAGCACAAGAACTGTTAGTCGGGAGCGTCATTAAATCAATTTTCATGGCTGAGCAGCCGCACACAAGCCTAAGATCACCATGCGCAATGCCGAGCATCGGCTGGAGTGGTGTAAAGCTCGCCGCCATTGGACTCTGGAGCAGTGGAAATGCGTTCTCTGGAGATGAATCACGCTTCACCACCTGGCAGTCCGACAGACGAATCTGGGTTTGGCGGATGCCAGGAGAACGATACCTGTCCCAATGCATAGTGCCAACTGTCAAATTTGGTGGAGGAGGAATAATGGTCTGGGGCTGTTTTTCATGGTTCGGGCTAGGCCCCTTAGTTCCAGTGAAGGGAAATCCTAACGCTACAGCATACAATGACATTCTAGATTATTATGTGCTTGGGGAAGGCCCTTTCCTGTTGCAGCATGGCAATGCCCCCGTGCACAAAGTGAGGTCCATACAGAAATGGTTTGTCGAGATCGGTGTGGAAGAACATGACTGGACTGCACAGAGCCCTGACCTCAACCGCATCGAACACTTTTGGGATGAATTGGAAGGCCAACTGCAAGCCAGGCCTAATCGCCCAAAATCAGTGCCCGACCTCACTAATGCCCGTGACTGAACAGAAGCAAGTCCCCGCAGCAATGTTCCAGCATCTAGTGGAAAGCCTTCCCAGAAGAGTGGAGGCTGTTATAGCAGCAAAGGGGAGAACCAACTCCATATTAATGCCCATGATTTTGGAATGAGATGTTAGAAGTATTGTATTTCAGAAGTGTATTCCACTTTGGTCTGGTTATGAGAACTCAGCTTTGTAAACATAGCACTTTTTGACTGATTGACGTTTGGGTAATTGTCAACAAATACATTTTAGCTGAGTGAAATATTCTAAATCCAAATATCTCATCATACAAACAAGGAAAACTTCCCAACTGGGTGAAGTAATGAGCTGTCATTTGTTACATTTACATTTTAGTCATTTAGCAGATGCTCTTATCCAGAGCGACTTACAGTTAGTGAGTGCATACATTTTACATACTGGCCCCCCATGGGAAACGAACCCACAACCCTGGCATTGCAAGCGCCATGCTCTACCAACAAAGCTACAGCGGATTTGTTGATCGTTTTAAGATTTAATCCACACTTTTATGGATTCAGAAATCCAAGAGGGCATTATATAACTGACACCAATCACATAACTTTCATGATATCACGTCCACTATACTTTATGTATCTGGGGTATTTGAACACTTGCAAAGTAAATCTCACAGCACTGAAACTACATTTACACTTGCAATGGGTGCCCTCCAGTGGATAGCTGCAGACAATACATGAGAACAATGATGCAAGGCCAACTATGCATGGAGAACCAGGGAAAGATTAAACTATTTGAAATAACAACTTAATCAACTATGGGGATATATGAAGTATCCATAGCAGGTAGCATGACACATTCTGGATATAATACATTTAACACGTAGTTGCGAAAACACCATGGATCTCCCTCTCACGATTCAAAACACACTTTTTTGGCATTCCTGACTGCTCTTCACCTGTCCAGCGTTAGAAATTAAGCAACTTGATCTCTGCATGTAAGTTACAACAAGGTGTGGGGCTTATCACCAAATTCATTCTAGCTCTGTGGTTTAGTTCAGGATAGTCAATTCATTATGATTTAAATATTAAATGTGTATTTTCAAAAATACACATATTGCTAAGTATGAAAATAGAATGTACAGTTTGTAAAGTATTTTGTATAATCTTTCTCCATTGGTACAGTATATGGGATTTTGTTTATTTATTTATAATTTTTTATACATAAGGGGGTGGAAATATGACCAGAAATATACACCAGATAAAATATGTTTTCCATTAAAACAGTTAATAAACAGGGCCTCCCGAGTGATGCAGCGGTCTAAGGCACTGCATCGCAGTGCTTCAGGCGTCACTACAGCCCCGGGTTCAATCCCAGGCTGTGTCACAGCCGGCCGTGACTGGGAGACCCATGAGGCGGCACACAATTGGCCCAGCGTCGTCCGGGTTAGGGGAGGGTTTAGCCGGCCGGGACTTCCTTGTCCCATTGTGCTCTAGCAACTCATGTGGCGGGTCTGGCACCTGACTTCGGTCGCCAGCTGGACGGTGTCAAGAAGCTTGGCAGGGTTGTGTTTCGGAGGACGCATGGCTCTCGACCTTCGCCTCTCCCGAGTCTGTAGGGGAGTTGCAGCGATGGGACAAGACTGTAACTACCAAGTGGATATCACGAAAATGGGGTAAACATTAAAAAAATATATAAATAACTTAATAAACAAAATATCATTAAAACATTTAACATCTAAAGTAAGCATATACACAAACTTAACATTCTGACATCTTTACAAAAATGTTTAGATGGTACCAGACTCCACTATAAAAGTATACTTAATCTATGAATGGAACAGTGGCATACTGTTGATACATGAGCACACAACGTTTAGATGCCCTTATGAATTTCTCTATGCAGAATGATAAAGGTCATCATCCTAGTCAATCTGTCTGTCCGTGGTAAGATGAGGTTCAGCACACACACAAGGCAGCTTTGCGTTTCTGTGGCAGGATGACGGGAACATTGGGGGAGCGTCTCTGTCCCTTCCCACCTCGCCTCAGAGGGGTTCGGTCACTGAGTCTGCGGCGAGACGTTCTAGGGGACAAGGGACTGCGTGGAGAACGGGCCAGGCTGCGGCGAGGCATCCTGGGGGACAGGGGACTGTGAGGGGACCGACCAAGGCTGTGATGTGCTATGCTGGGGGAGAGGGGAGTGTGTGGGGGCCTACGAAGCCGCCTCACCAGAGGGGTGGATGGTTCCGAGCCCCCTGGAGTCCCTGTGCTTTCAATTGCACAAACGTTCAAGGTTCTGTCTGTTGGGGGCACTCTCTGAGAGTCCACCTCTGCCATGGGCTCTGAAGAGGGACAGAGGCCAGCCTCACACAGGCTATTCCTCCACTCCAGAGCTGGGAGGGGGAGAGGCTCACCCACAGAGGGCACAGTGTTTCCCTCTGGGCTCTGCTGGAATAGGGCAGATAAACAAACACATAAAGGTTAACATTCTATATTCCATCACTCTTGATATGAAGCAAACAAAGCACCCCTGAGTAGATTCCAGAAATGAAGGGTTATTGCAACACAAATGTAGTGCTGAGCGATTAAAGAAATGTCAGTTATTTTCCCGTTTTTAAACAACGAATTGACTGACATTGGTTCAATTATTCAAATTAAATTTTGTTCTGTATTTTTTCTGTGAGCTCAATGTGCACATTGTGCAGTTTCTCTAGAGATAAATCAGATCAAGCCCAAACTGTGCGATGTAGTAGGGCGTTGTAGTTTTCAACAAGACAATATTCTACATAGTTTAGCTCAGAACAAATGGTAATTAACTACAATGAGCATAATTCATTGCACACCTACTTGTCGAGTGTGTTTATTTTATGCCTGTTAGGTGGGGCAGACACAGAGAGCGTGAGAAGAGACAGAATAATGTGCGATCGAGAGGGATAGAGAGCAGTTGCTTCGTGAGGTATCTTTACCTGAATATACGATCTAAGTTATTGATAGTTGGTATTCAGCAGTCCTAAATGTATGCCTTATTTACTTTGAAGAACTACTAAAATAGTGATTTTGTCAAACAGAATAGGCAGCATCTCTATAGAGATGAGATGACATGGAATGAAATAAAGTCATCAAATAAAACAAATGTAACATACACAACTGAAATATTTTAGTAAAGTAATGTGAATAAATGATGGTTAATAAGTAATAATCAGTAAATGGGCAGTCACTACTATCATGGGACTTGTATTAATGGTTTTATTCTGTGTTGTTACAGCACTCAACACCACCCGAACCAACCTCAAAAAGCACTAATCGCTCAGCACTACATAAATGAGAAAACAAGGTGGATGCCTTCATGTGTAATGTAACTGCCAATTGCAGACATCCTCCAGCTCTCCTGGAGTTCTGGTCAACATCATTTCGTGTAGTTTAATCAGAATGATAAGAGGATGCAGATATGCAATTAACCAAGATCCATCAACTAACCCGGAGTCAGAGATCTGGACTAGATCAAGATGAACAACCATTGCCAGACCCCAAGCTACCTTTTTAGCTGCTCTATGTCTAATCGTTGTTCTTTCAATTTTGCATTATCAGAATCACAACTGCACTGCAGAGAAAACTGGGGAAGATCAAAGACTCCCACCCCCTCACCCTGAATAAGCCCACGTTCCACTTAAAATGATTTTGAAACGGCTTTGGCAGCGGAAACCTCTTCCTCAAAGCTAAGGATACAGATCACGTTCTGCGCATGTTATTTTACGCACAAATTTTTTTCCACGTAGCTGCTGCTCACACTCCCCCATCCCTTCACTCACCCTGTTTAACCATGATGATGTAGCCTGTCTCTGCCTCATATTTCTGAACAGCTGAAATAAAAAAAACCTGCGTCGATTTGAACGAACGTTACAAAAAAAGATTGCCTATTATGAAGGCTACAACATTCTCTGTCTGTTGTAACGGATATTGCAGTTGCACAAGCAGGACGCAGTCCCTCCACATTGCAATGTGCCAATAACAACCACGTTTAGTGTGATGTGGGCTATAGTTGCTGCCATATCGTACATTAGTCACAGTTCCTGAAAAAAATAACACTACTACTTCGAATGGCTGTCTGCCTCCTGCTTAGCCAATGTTTGCAATGATGAAAAAATAACATTACAATTATATTTAGACTACGTGTCTGTCTTGCTCGTGTTTTATATGCTGCCTAGATAGCTTCATGTAACACCCCACTTCAGTTTTGCATTGGGGCGAAACACAATCTGCGTTTTTACCACAGACAGGCCCTAAACTGCTATTTCACTTATTTCTCAAAAGATCATGCAAGTACGGCACGAGTCGGCTACCTAGCTGTTCCATCTCTGGGCAGCCGAACGTTCTAGACAACCAAACCGGAAACCAGAGTCTGTCAAGGGGCGAGTTCGATTTGCATCGCCCGGTGCCCCAACATGTAAATAGTTCTGCATGTAGTCTAACTCCCCTTCTGAAAAAAGAACACAACATCACGCTTATGCTTAGTAGCCTACTCTTTTGCAATAGTTCGAATATGTCGACAATGTCTTTTGTGTACAACATGAACTTTGAAGGCTACACCAAACAAAGGCGTTCATCGCCGATCAATGAGCGGGAAGCGGCAGTCGAGCACTGAGCAGAGTGCGCTCAGCTAAGTAAAACAATCTGGAAGGGGGGAAGCGGTAGCGGAGTGCGCAGCAGCTAGTAAAAAAAAATAAAAAATCTGCACATGCGCAGAAATCTCTGTATTCTTATCAGCAGCAAATCGGGTTCCAGAAAATCCAGAACCACAGACACTCCGTTTAAAGAAAACGTCTGCCGCCTACTCTCTAGTTTTCCTCTCTTACCAAAACACTAGATGGCTGCTTAGTTGAATGCGCCAACAGTACACAAACTAGATGCACAGGTCTGTTAAAGGCAGAAGCCCTCTTAATTTGTGAATACAAAAATTGGGGCCCACTCATCATCAGCAGCTTTGTGTCTCCCTGTGCAAAAACAGCATCCATGTAGGGTAGCTTGGTGTGAACACAATAACCAATGTAGCCTAGCAGAAAATCTAACAGTTGAGGATAGTGACACTCCTAAATGTTTAATTATTTTTACAGTTCCCTACATCTGTATAGATCTGAAATGTGACACCTTCAAATCTTTAAATTTTGAATGACAACAAATGGCAATTTGTATGTTCCTCCATTGGCCTTAATTTGAACAAATATCAATCACACTGAGTGGACAGTCACCTCACTCCCATTCTAGGTGTCGCTATTGCCCATGTTCTTCATCAAAATAGACCTCTCCATCCTCATCCTCCTCCTCTCTCCGTCCCAAAAACAAAATGTAATCTTGGTGAATGAGCGGTCAGATTCCACGACTCAGCCATAAACGACTGGAACGACCTAGTGACACAGGGGTTCCAGATCGCTCTAGCAATTCTGCTTTTTCTTCTTCTAAATAGTGTTAACAAAATACAATTAAAATAAAACAAACACTGATTACCATGTAAGCCTGATGAAGTTAAAATGTGAGGGTGCTGTTGTAAGTTACTCTTGGCACGTACCATAATAGGGGTGTCGTAACGGCGGGGAGAGTTAGCGGTTGTAACGGGGGGGATCTTATCAAGGCCCTCTGCCATATTGACATAGAGCTCCTGTAGGTGCATGGTCATGGGTGGCTCATCAGGGTGCTGCACGGTAATCACTATGACCGTTGTGTTGTCTGCACGGAGCATGCGCTGACGCCAGAACAGCAGGGCCGTGCATCCTAACCGTTTGGCACAGGACCATCCCTTAGGGCCCTAAGAGCAGACATAGTAACACCATCAACCTGTTAGAAGGGCATTGGCAGACACATCCAAGACGTTTTGGTCTGAATGGGAAACAAGAAGCTCTGGCTTACCACCATCTGGTCGTGGCTTTCACACATAGCGACAGCATCCTTAGCTGGCATCATGTTCCACAAGCCATCACTACCCAGGATGATGTAGCGGTGCTTCTTTGGGTCAATGGTCATTACAGTGACATCAGGCTCTGGAGAGACCACAAACTCCCCACTGTAGAAGTCGTAGCTCCACAGGTCCCCTGTCAACAACAGAGCACACACATCATTAATATGCTTCATCAATGGGCAAATATTAAATGAAATGATTGTATGACAACCTTACTGAAAATCATACTGTTTGCATAAAGGCAGCAGCTATGGACCAGATGAATCAGTATGTTATCTAGTGGAGGGCAGAGGAAACTTGTGTTTAGGCCAACAGTGTAGTGCTTACCCAACGCTCTGGCCACAGCGAGAAAGGGAATCTGGTCTATGACAGTGCTCCTCCTGACAGGGCCATTGTGGGTCAGTCTGGGCCTCTTCCAAACCACACGGTTCACCCCAGACTTCTTCACTACACTAAAAAGGACACAAGACGGAGGATTTATTATGTGATCATATACTGAACAAAAATATAAAACACAACATGCAACAATTACAGTTCATATTAGGAAATCAGTCAATTGAAATAAATTCATTAGGCCCTAATCTATGGATTTCACATGACTGGTCAGGGGCCTTGGAGGGTATAGGCCCACCCACTTGGCAGCCAGGCCCACCCACATAATGAGTTTTTCCCCACAAAATGGCTTTATTACAGACATAAGTACTCCTCAGCATCCCCCACCCCCACTCAGACGATCCCGCAGGTGAAGAAGCCGGATGTGGAGGTCAGGGCTGGCATTGTTACGCGTGGTCTGCGGTTGTGAGGCGGGTTGGATGTACTGCCAAATTCTCTAAAATGACATTGGAGACAGCTTATAGTAGAGAAATGAACATTCAACTCTCTGGCAACAGTTTTGGTGGACATTCCTGCAGTCAGCATGCCAATTGCAAGCTCCCTCAAAACTTGAGACATCTGTGGCATTGTATTGTGTGACAAAACTGCACATTTTAGAGTGGCCTTTTATTGTCCCCAGCACAAGGTGCACCTGTGTAATGATCATGCTGTTTAATCAGCTTCTTCATATGCCACACCTGTCAGGTAGATGGAGTATCTTGGTAAAAGAGAAACGCTCACTAACAGGGATGTAAACAAATTTGTGCACAAAATTTGAGAGAAATAAGCTTTTTGTGCGCATGGAACATTTCTGGGATTTTTTACTTCTGCTCATGAAACACGGGACCAAAACTTTAAATGTAGCGTTTATATTTTTGTTCAGTGTATTTATTTTAATTTTGTATGATTCAATCCCAAAAGTGCACCCATTTGGTCCTAAGTATCAAATCACTGTTGCTCCGCAGGCCAAATAGTTACATACTGCATCGCTAACCAACCCATTTTTGCCCTCCCGCTGGTAACAGACTCATTGTCGTCCCACTACTTTTTCTATACATAAATGAACTAGGCTTCTTTTCATTTAAAAGTTTCAATTCACTAGTCAGAAAAGTCTGTATAGCCTTCTCCCACTAGAATGAACGATATACAGTACATCTTCTAGTAATCTATTGAAAGAACAGGCGCCTGTCAGTCACAAGGTGAGTGATGACAGGGAAAAACTGCTGGTTTGTCAGTCTGCTGTCTGTCCTGCCTCTCGGTACCCGTGTTATTTTTGTGTGCTGTGGTTGGCTGCAGTCAAATTAATTTTCATGTTAGTTAATTTACACGTAATGCAAGTGGTAACGATGAGTTGAAACACACTTAATTATTGTTGTGGCACATACATTTCGCTTGTTTCATATAGCCAGCCACAGAGTCGGGTCGCATAGGCTATTTACTGTGTGCTTTGATTGACAACCGAACAGCAAGTGTTGACTAGTTCAGTGTTTCTCAACACCAGTCCTCGAGTACCCCCAACAGCACACATGTTTGTTGTAGCCCCAGAAAAACTCACCTGATTCAACTCATTGAGGGCCTGATGATTAGTTGACAAGTTGAATCAGGTGCACTTGTCCGGGGCTGTGTGTGCTGTTGGGGGTACTGGAGGACTGGAGTTGGGAAACTCTTGACAAGTTTAACAAAGTTGTCGAACTGACTGAATCAAGTCGCTCTCCTATATCCCTTTGCTATTTATAGATCACACAACATAGTTATTATTCCATCGTATCGCAACCAGTAAACCAAAGATCTCGTTTGTATTTTCCTAGGATTCGAAGCCTATGTCGAGACTTGCCAGGGACCGCTAAAATGACTTGTCAGTGTAGCCTAGTGATGGTGATGGGTTGTTCGCGAACTAACGGCTCTTTTTGAACATCGGGAACCGAATCGCATCGTGAGAGACATTCATTTGGCCCTCTAATTTGCGCACTGGTAGGTTTCTACTGCTTTTTGGCAATTATCTGCAGCTAAATTATGAAAACATTAAATGAAAACTGTGAATCCTCACTGCAGGAACAATAGGTTGTGGCGAGAGTCTCACTCTGGTCCAAAATATGATAAAAGAAAACAGATTGAAGGTTATAAAAGCTAATGATACTTACACTACATGACCAACAGTATGTGGACACCTGCTAGTCCAACATCTCATTCAAAATCATGGGCATTAATATGGAATTGGACCCCCTTGGCTGCAATAACAGCCTCTACTCTTCTGGGAAGGCTTTCCACTAGATGTTGGGGACTTGCTTCCATTCAGCCACAACAGCATTAGTGAGGTCGGGCACTGATGTTGGGCGATTAGGCCTGGCTCGCAGTCAGCGTTCCAATTCATCCCAAAGGTGTTGGTTGGGGTTGAGGTCAGGGTTCTGTGCAGGCCAGATAAGTTCTTCCACACCGATCGACAAACCATTTCTGTATAGACCTCGCTTTGTGCACGGGGCATTATCATGTTGAAACAGGAAAGGGCCTTCCCCAAACTGTTGCCACAAAGTTGGAAGCACATAATCGTCTAGAATGTCATTGTATGCTGTAGCGTTAAGATTTCCCTTCACTGGAACTAAGGGGCCTAGACCGAACCATGAAAAACAGCCCGACCATTATTCCTCCTCCACCAAACATTACAGTTGGCACTATGCATTGGGGAAGGTAGTGTTCTCCTGGCATCCGCCAAACCCAGATTCATCCGTCGGACTGTCAGATGGTGAAGCGTGATTCATCACTCCAGAGAATGTGTTTTCACTGCTCCAGAGTCCAATGGCGGCAAGCTTTACACCAATCCAGCCAACGCTTGGCATTGCGCATGGTGATCTTAGGCTTGTGTGCAGCTGCTCGGCCATGGAAACCCACTTCATGAAGCTCCCGACTAACAGTTATTGTGCTGACGTTGCTTCCAGAGGCAGTTTGGAACTCTGTAGTGAATGTTGCAACCGAGGACAGACGATTTCTAGCAAGGCAGAAATCTGACGAACTGCCTTGTTGGAAGGTGGCATCCTATGACGGTGCCACGTTGTAAGTCACTGAGCTCTTCAGTAAGGCCATTCTACTGCCAATGTTCGTCTATGGAGATTGCATGGCTGTGTGCTCAATTTTATACACCTGTCAGCAACGGGTGTGGCTGAAATAGCGGGGTGTCCACTTACTTTTGTATATAGTGTATATGGTATTATTAAAGATATTGGTATAGGTCTACTGATTTGATTAGTGTCAACAATGGTGTAGTCAACTTCTGTGTAGCAAAGCCCATGTTTAACACCTGCTTCATCCTTCAATCATACCTGTAGGTCTATTCATGTGCGACTGACTTTGTATAAATCGATCTGGCGGGGGGTCTGGGGGTCCTCCCCCTGAAAATGTATGCATAAAAAAAAAATCCCCTGCAATTCTATATCGTTTCTCAAAAGGGAATCGATGTTTACTTGACAGAACACCACATTTGTTCTTAGGTTTTTGCCACAATAAAGAAAATTGAAAGAGTACACTATATTTAGTTATTGCCACAATAAATTACATTGAAAGAGTAGACTAGACTAGTTTCTGACTAGATTACTAATCTACTGCCTTCCCTCAAAGTCCCACCCAGTGATTGATTGACAGGTCTAAAACCCTACCAACTCTGACAAACATCCTTTCCCCTCCCTGACAATCCCCCCCACAGCGATTAATTGACAGGCCAGGGATAGTTCACCCAAATAACACATTGGTTTCCTTACCCTTAGTGTCCACTGCGCCAATAAAATACATCTGAAAAACAATTTGGCTGGCTACTCCATGTACACACTTGGCAATGACACAAACTGAGACTGAAGTGTCCCCTCCTACTCACCTGCCCCCAAGTCTCTCAATGCGCTCCTTCTCTTTGGGAAGTTCAGGTTTGTGATCCTGTGTGACTTCCAAGGCCCTGATGTTCTTTTCACCCGGCTCTTTCACCCCAACAACCACTGCTGAGTCCCCCACATGGGCTACGTACATCTGATCCCCCCGGATCAGCACTATACTAGCCGTTGTTCCTGCCGTACTGGGCTGGCCGGTCAGAGTCTTGGGCCACTCAGCTGTAGGATTCAGATGGGGAAAGCATTGGAAGACATTATTATGAACAAACACCTTGCGGCAACACTGATTAGTGGATGTGACAATTGGCATTAGGCCTACATATGAGAGAAGTGTATTTAGACTAGAGGAAATCAGGAGATCTTAGGATGACACGTCTGAGGTTGAGACAGGAGCATGCTTGACATGAGATAACCTTGTGCTTCAAAAGCAATGATGAGCTTGACATGCTGACCTTTTATGCTCTACTTGCAGAGCTAGGTATTCCAAACCCCCAGATGTTGTGTATTCCCAAACCCCTGAGCGATACATAGAAAAGACCAGCTCATAAAATTGCCAGTAATAGCTAATAATAACTGGATGGATGGATGGATGTCCTGACTGTAGCAGAGAGGAAGAGGCAATCATCTTTGGTAGTAGCAGCAGCAATAAGGGGTTAGCTAGCTACAGACTGTAGCTAGCTAAACCACAGATGTGGCGCCATAATTTCTCAACACTAACTTTAGTGTTGTTGGCTACCTAGCAGGTAGATAGCATCAAAGTCAGCGAATATGCTATAAACACAAGCTAGGCTAGCTAACTAGTTCACTTACGTAGCTCTTTCCACATATCATGATGGCAGGCAATGAACCCCTTTCGAATTGCTTCACAGACATCTCCTTGATCTTTTGACCAAAACCCCCTTTGCCTTTTCAGAATACCCCACAGATTGTCTCGCGCAAAATGAGCTGCTTCTCGCCCTCCGTGACCGTCAAATACACCAAAAAACGCCACAGACTTCCGAGCGACCGTGTGCTCTTCTGGAACTTCTGCCTGGGAAACGTCCTCATGCTTCTCACATGTTATGTTTTCTGTCCACATTGCAGTAACAGGCATCGATTCTTGAACGTTGTCGGGGGAATTGCTTATTATGGTCTGCTCAGTATGATCAATCTGCTGATTCTCTACTTTTGACTCCCCTTGTTGTTCTGCCGAATTCAGACCACCCTCTGCTGGCTCTGGTTCAGGCGGTTCGTACTCCACTTTAAACTCAATAACATCCTCCATGTATCTCCTTCCTCCTTGCTCGGAGAATGCACTAACTCGAAAAATTAATGCGTCGTTCATGGCCATGAAAACTCCAAGCAAAGCTATACAAGAACAATAAACACTTGTCCACCGGTTATGCTAAGCCGTGTTTGAAACAAACATTTTTTTTTTAGTTTTTTTCGACGATTGGTCGTAAGGTACTTCAACCACCTTCTTCTTCTTCAATGAGGTTTAACGGCGGTTGGCATCCAATAAATGTTGCATTACCGCCACCTACTAGATTGGAGTATAACTCCCTTATACTTTGCTTTAAAAAAATAAATAAAAATTATAATACTAATACCCTACCATCTAACACTACACTCACAAAACATAAAAAATGAGAATAAATACCATACTCCACTATTTAAATCTATTTAGTCCTACTTCAGTTCAACAGCCTGAAAGAATGGGACACCGCCAATTAACACACCCTGTAGCTCTTCTGATGTCAAGTCTCGCACACCCAAATACCTCTCTAAAGCTGCCACCACAACCTCTATTTTCTGCGACTTACGCTTTTCCAACAGTCTTGAAGGAGTTCCCACATATGCTGAGCACTTGTTGGCTGCTTTTCCTTCACTCTGCGGTCAAACTCATCCCAAACCATCTCAATTGGGTTGAGGTCGGGGGATTGTGGAGGCCAGGTCATCTGATGCAGCACTCCATCACTCTCCTTCTTGGTCAAATAGCCCTTACACAGCCTGGAGGTGTGTTGGGCCATTTTCCTGATGAAAAACAAATGATAGTCCCACTAAGCCCAAACCAGATGGGATGGCGTATTGCTGCAGAATGCTGTGGTAGCCATGCTGGTTAAGTGTGCCTTGAATTCTAAATAAATCACAGACAGTGTCACCAGCAAAGCACCCCCACACCATAACACCTCCTCCTCCATGCTTTACGGTAGGAAATACACATGCAGAGATCATCTATTCACCCACACCACGTCTCACAAAGACACAGAGGTTGGAACCAAATATCTCAAATTTGGACTCCAGACAAAAGGACAAATTACCACCGGTCTAATGTCCATTGCTCGTGTTTCTTGGCCCAAGCAAGACTCTTCTTCTTATTGCTGTCCTTTAGTAGTGGTTTCTTCGCAGCAATTCGACCATAAAGGCCTGATTCACACAGTCTCCTCTGAACAGTTGATGTTGAGATGTGTCTGTTACTTGAACTCTGTGAAGCATTGAATATGTCCGTAAACACTCCAGCCAGCTGGTCTGTGCATGCTCTGAGGACGCGGCTAGGGGTGGGTTAACACGCTTAAACGTCTTACTCACATTGGCCACGGAGAACAAGCGCTCACAGTCCTTGGGAGCGGCCTGTGTCGGCGGCACTGTGTTATCTTCAAAGCGGGCGAAGAAGGTGTTTAGCTTGTTCATTAAAATTTAGCCATTCAGCAGATGCTCCCATCCAGAGCGACCCACAGCTAGTCAATTCATCTTAAGATAGCCAGGCGAGACAACCACATATCACAGTCGTATCCCAACCACATAATACAATACATAATACAATGCAAAATACAATTCAAAATGCATAAACACGTATGTGTGTCTCTTCACAGTCCCCGTCGTGCTGTAAGGTGTTCTTTTATCTGGTTTTTGAATCTGGTTTTATTGCTAGCTTGAGTTACCTGGGGTGGCAGAGAGTTTCATTTAGTCATAGCTCTATTTAATACTGTGTGTTTCCAAGCCTCTGTTCTGGACCTGGGGACTGTAAAGAGACCTCTGGTTGCATGTCTTGTGTGATACGATGAGTGGCCGAACTGTGTGCCGACTGCTTGAACAGATGGTTAGATAACCTCAGCACATCAAGACCAATAGTGATGCAGTCAATCTCTCCTCAACTTTGACCCAGGAGAGATTGACATGCATATCATTGACATTCGTCCACCGTGTACATCTAAGTGTAATATGTGCTGCTCTGTTTTGGACCAACTGCAATTTGCCTATGGGATTCTTTTCCACACCTGCCACACAACTGGACAGTAGTCCAGGTGCGACAAAACTAGGGCCTGTAGGACCTGTCTGGTTGACTGAGATATATATCAAGAAAGCAGACTAACGCCTTATCATGGACAGACCCTTTCCCATTTGAGTAACCATTGAGTCTATATGTTTTGATCATGATAGCTTGCTATCTAGGGTGACACCCAGCGGTTTAGTCTCTTCAACTTGCTCAGTAGCCACATTATTCAATAATAGATCCAGATGAGGTTTAGGGTTGAGCGAGTGATTTGTCCCAAACATGATGTTTTTAGTTTTTGACATAATTAGCACCAGCCAATTTCTAGTGACCCATTCTAAAACTGACTGGAGCTCTATGTTAAGGGTGTCAGTTATTTGTTTTACTGTTGCAGCCGATGTGTATACTATTGAGTCGTCAGCGTACATGGACACACAGGATTTATTCAAGGTCAGTGGAAGGTCATTAGTAACACAGAAAACAATAATGGTCCAAGGCAAGCCAGCTGCCCTGCAGTACACCACACTCACATTTGCATTAGAGAGGCTTCCACTAAAGAAAACCTTCTGTGTTCTACTGGATAGGTAACTGTCCATCCATTATAAGGTAGAGGATGTTAATAACACCTACGTTTTTTCAGCAATATGTTATGATCAATGATATTAAAGGCTGCACTGAAGTCTAACAAAACAGCTCCCACAATCTTCTTATTATCAATTTATTGCAGCCAATCATCAGCCATTTGTGTCAGCACTGAGCATGTTGAGTGCCCTTCCCTATAAGCATGCTGAAAGTCTGTTGTAAAAAAAATGTTTTGGTCAAACACAATGTTTTCCAAAACGTTGCTAAGAACCGGTAATAGGCTGATTGGTCTGCTGTTTGAACCATTGCTATAACCATTGCTATTTTTGGGCAGAGAACTGACCTTTGCCTCCCTCCAGGCCAGTGGGCACACTCCGTCTTCTAGGCTTAGATTGAAGATGTGGCAAATAGGAGTTGCAATGTATTCCGCTACCAACCTCAGTATTTTACCATCCAGGTTGTCGGTTCCAGGTGGTTTGTCCTTATTTATACAGTGAGGGAAAAAAGTATTTGATCCCCTGCTGATTTTGTACGTTTGCCCACTGACAAAGACATGATCAGTCTACAATTTTAATGGTAGGTTTATTTGAACAGTGAGAGACAGAATAACAACAACAAAAATCCAGAAAAACGCATGTCAAAAATGTTATAAATTGATTTGCATTTTAATGAGGGAAATAAGTATTTGACCCCTCTGCAAAACATGACTTAGTACTTGGTGGCAAAACCCTTGTTGGCAATCACAGAGGTCAGACGTTTCTTGTAGTTGGCCACCAGGTTTGAGCCTGACGTTTGACGTTTGGCAACTCGAACCTTCAGCTCCGTCCACAGATTTTCTATGGGATTAAGGTCTGGAGACTGGCTAGGCCACTCCAGGACCTTAATGTGCTTCTTCTTGAGCCACTCCTTTGTTGCCTTGTCCGTGTGTTTTGGGTCATTGTCATGCTGGAATACCCATCCACGACCCATTTTCAATGCCCTGGCTGAGGGAAGGAGGTTCTCACCCAAGATTTGACGGTACATGGCCCCATCCATCGTCCCTTTGATGCGGTGAAGTTGTCCTGTCCCCTTAGCAGAAAAACACCCCCAAAGCATAATGTTTCCACCTCCATGTTTGACGGTGGGGATGGTGTTCTTGGGGTCATAGGCAGCATTCCTCCTCCTCCAAACACGGCGAGTTGAGTTGATGCCAAAGAGCTCGATTTTGGTCTCTTCTGACCACAACACTTTCACCCAGTTCTCCTCTGAATCATTCAGATGTTCATTGGCATAATTTCAGACGGGCCTGTATATGTGCTTTTTTGAGCAGGGGGACCTTGCGGGCGCTGCAGGATTTCAGTCCTTCACGGCGTGGTGTGTTAACAATTGTTTTCTTGGTGACTATGGTCCCAGCTGCCTTGAGATCATTGACAAGATCCTCCCGTGTAGTTCTGGGCTGATTCCTCACCGTTCTCATGATCATTGCAACTCCACGAGGTGAGATCTTGCATGGAGCCCCAGGCCGAGGGAGATTGACAGTTATTTTGTGTTTCATCCATTTGCGAATAATCGCACCAACTGTTGTCACCTTCTCACCAAGCTGCTTGGCGATGGTCTTGTAGCCCATTCCAGCCTTGCGTAGGTCTACAATATTGTCCCTGACATCCTTGGAGAGCTCTTTGGTCTTGGCCATGGTGGAGAGTTTGGAATCTGATTGATTGATTGCTTCTGTGGACAGGTGTCTTTTATACAGGTAACGAGCTGAGATTAGGAGCACTCCCTTTAAGAGTGTGCTCCTAATCTCAGCTCGTTACCTGTATAAAAGACACCTGGGAGCCAGAAATCTTTCTGATTGAGAGGGGGTCAAATACCTATTTCCCTCATTAAAATGCAAATCAATTTATAACATTTTTGACATGCGTTTTTCTGTTTTTTGTTGTTGTTATTCTGTCTCTCACCGTTCAAATAAACCTACCATTAAAATTATAGACAGATCATTTCTTTGTCAGTGGGCAAACGTACAAAATCAGAAGGGATCAAATACTTTTTTCCCTCACTGTAGATAGCAACAATTATCTCACCTCTTCCACACTAACTTTGTGGAATTCAAAGCTACAGTGGTTGTCTTTCATTATTTGGTCCGTTATGCATGAATATGAAGGCTCAGCATTTGTTTTTTGCATGTAATGTCTACAATTGCTAATCTTGTCAACAAATTAGTTATTTAAGTGGTTGGCAAAGGGTTTTGTTATGAATGATAATAATAATAATATGCCATTTAGCAGACGCTTTTATCCAAAGCGACTTACAGTCATGCGTGCATACATTTTTGTGTATGGGTGGTCCCGGGGATCGAACCCACTACCTTGACGTTATAAGCGCCGTGCTCTACCAGCTGAGCTACAGAGGACCACATGAGTCAAGGTAGTGGGTTCGAATGAGCCATCAGCCTCAATGAAGGATGGAGCTGAGTTAGCTTTTCTGCCTAGAATTTAATTTAAGGTACTCCAGAGCTTTTTACTATCATTCTTTATATCGTTTATCTTTGTTCCATAGTATAATTTCTCCTTCTTTTTGTTTAGTTTAGTTACTTGATTTTTCAATTTACTGTATGTTTGCCAATCTGCTGTGTTGCCAGACTTATTTTCCATTCCCTTAGCCTCATCCCTCTCAGCCATACAGTTTTTCGATTCATTATCTATCCATGGGGATTTGCCTGTTTTAACAGTCAGTTTCTTTATGGCCGCATGGCTGTCAGTAACTGGAAAAAGCAATTTCATAAATGCTTCAAGTGCAGCGTCAGGATGTTCCTCATTACACACATCAGACCAACAAATATCTTTCACATCTTTAACATAGGAATCATTGCAAAGCATACTGTGTGATCGGTTATACACTATTTTAGGTCCAGTCTTAGGAACTTGGGTTTCCTAGATATGGCTTTTATATTATGATCACTACATCCAATGGGTGTGGATACTGCTTTAGAGCAGATTTCTGCAGCATTAGTAAAGATGTGGTCAATACAAGTGGATGATTTAGTTTATGTTCTCTTTGTAAATACCCTAATAGGTTTACTGATAACCCAAACCAGGTTGCAGGCACTGGTTACAGTTTGAAGCTTTTTCTTGAGTGGACAGCTTCATGGAAGCCAGTCAATATTTAGCTCACCCAGAAAATATACCTCTCTGTTGATATCACATACATTATCAAGCATTTCACAGATATTATCCAGACACTGACTGTTAGCTCTTGGTGCTCTATAGCAACTTCCCACAAGAATAGGCTTTAGGTGAGGTAGGTGAACCTGTAGTCATATTACTTTGACATCTGAATATAAACACTCTGAATATAAACAGCAATACCTCCTCCATTGGCATTCCTGTCTATTCTGTAGATGTTGTAACCATATATTTCTACCACTGTATCATCAAAGGAATTATCTAAGTGAGTTTCAGAGAGTAGCTCAAACTGCGTATGTTATGTCTCCATGAGACGCCATCTTAACCGACAGTCAGCATATTATACGTATTGAACATTCATATTACACTGTACAGCCTTACCTATAGAGTGTTCACCCATGAACTGGGGTATCAGCCTACTCAGTGACACCCACAGATTACAATTATGTAGAGTTAACACAAATATTACCGTGGTAGCTCTTATTGCAGGACTTTGACTGTGAAAAATCACCTCCCTAGTTAGTCTATTATGCGTAATTGAACATTCATAAATAATTATTATCAAATTAGTTAATTATTGTATTTATTGTTAAGTAATGTAACAACATTCCAACCTTGTTTAGCATTATCTAGTCAAAATATGGCATTATTCCACTATGTGTAACCTTTTGTATGTTTCAATTGGGACTTTTATTTTGAAGGCAAACTGCAAATCCACTATTGTGGTTAATCGTTATTGTGGCTAGCTTCACATAGGTCCAATGTACGTACTGACGACGCTGGGCCAATTGTGCGCCGCCCTATGGGACTCCCAATCACGGCCGGTTGTATAAATATGTATTTTGTGTGCTGCAGATCTGTCACGTTTATGTTCCAGGGACACACATATTTTATAAAATATATATTCTTATTTTTTAAGAAAGAAAAAAAGGAATGACGTCCGTAGGACAACGATGAATACTGATGATTCATTGTTTTATATTATGCTGTGAGTATGTGATTAATTGGTGACTGATTGACTGAGCAAGTATTTTGGATGCATTAAGAAAACACCACACACATTCATTCCACTTCCATCTTCTCGCATCACCAGATCAGAGTTTGCAATCTCTTTGACAAGATAGGCATACAACTGACGTTCCAGCACAGTCTACCTAGCCTGGCTGACGCGCGACCCACGTGACTACACAGCAAGGCTGGTTTTATGCCGCCTTCATGTGATCGTCGGAACTAGGAAACTCCGAAGTTTCCGACTTGCTAACTGGTTGAACGCGGCACGTGTATAACTACAACCAGTTAGCAAGTTGGACATTTCAGAGTTTCTAGTTCTGACTAGTACTTGAACGCGTCATTAGCAAGACCACAGTCTACCCCGGTCTATCGACAGAATCCTGTGACAGGATCATCGTCTGCGCATCAGTGAGGGGATTCGATTAATGCCAAGGACGAACCGGGTTAGCGTTGACCGCATTCGTTTTGGAAACGTGCTGCCTCCCTGGCGTGAGCCAGGTGCCCCGTTTTGGCCGACGGTGAAATCGGCTCAAAACAAAAGTGATGTAGGTTAAGCACGCGTAATGAGTAAGATTCTGTTTTCACATGCAAAAGTGATTGCTTTTGATGAAAGTATATCTGCACTCCCAATGAAAACTAGTTTGAAAATTAGAGAGTATATTTAATGGAAACGAGATGTATGTTTCTGAACGATGCATCATGCTACCTTTGAAAACAACATATATGACCGACGGGCGCTCCTCCCTCACCGCTCTGCCCGTTCACGTCAGGCATGAACGGGCACATACTCCCTGTCGGTATTAGTCCGGTGCGGGTGCACTTAATCGAACTCCCTCAGGAACTAAGCGAAGTACATTTGACTCCGGCGAATCAGACCCGGAGTGTGAAAAACTGGGTGGGGGCAGAGATAGACCTTCGGGCAGACTGCACGGGTTGAGTGCGTATCCTAGGAACATGGCCGATGGTTATGTTGGTGCTTAACTAGATGAGACAGTCAAAACTGTTTTGTTACATGAGAAGGTACAAGAAAAAGGAGTTCAAACTTGGCAAGGTGGTTAGTTAGCTACCGACCGTCGATCGAGCAGAGGGGGTGTTGCTGGCTGGGGAAAAGGAAAACAACATGGCGGCCTTGGAGCTCGAATGGATCCCAGAGACACTGTACAACACTGCTATATCAGCAGTGGTGGACAATTACAGTCGATCGCGAAGAGATATTCGTTCCCTCCCTGAAAATATTCAATTTGATGTGTATTACAAGGTAAGTTGTAAGTCTAGTTTGCTAACTATACAATGTGATGTTCGCGAGGTGATTCGTTTTTGCTAGCCAATTACAGCTAACATTGCAAACTCTTTGCAAAGCAAATGAACTAATTAACTTGCTTGCTAGCTAGCTATCCTGCTTACAAGGTTAACAATAATATATAAATAATATATTCCATTTAGCAGACGCTTTTATCCAGAGCGACTTGCAGTCATGCATGTATACATTTTTTTTTACATGTGGGTGGTCCCGGGAATCGAACCCACTATCCTGGTGTTGCAAGCACCAAAGCTGGGGAATAATGTTATCTTAAGGGGGGAGAAGAAAAATGAACATTTTAAAATTGAGGGTTCGTCATAATGTAAGTGTTTATTATTCATTATTTATTATGGTAAGCTGAAAAACAAGGAAAATGTAGTGTCCCCCCCGCCTCGGCCAGAAATAACATTTGTAATTTGTAAACGAAATAACAGTTCTAAAGAACCACCAAAAGTGTTAATTTTTTGAATTTAAGAGTCAATGGAACGATTATGGTAGCATAATCAAATCAAACTTTATTCATTACATGTACCGAATACAACAGGTGTAGACCTTACCGTGAAATGCTTACTTACAAGCCCTTAACCAACAATGCAGTTCAACAAAGAGTTAAGAAAATATTAACCAAATAAACTAAAGTAAACAATTATAAAAAAGTAACACAATAAAATAACAATAACGAGGCTATATACAGGGGGTACCGGTACCGAGGTACAGGTTAGTCGAGGTAATTTGTACATGTATGTAAGGGTAAAGTGACTACATAGATAATAGACAGCGGGTAGCAGCAGTGTAAAAACAAATGGAGGGGGGGTCAATGTAAATAGTCCAGGTGGCCATTTGATTAATTGGTCAGCAGTCTTATGGCTTGGGGGTAGAAGCTGTTAAGGAGCCTTTTGTTCGTAGACTTGGCGTTCCGGGTCTATGACTTGGGTGACTGGAGTCTTTGACAATTTTTTGGGCTTTCCTCTGACACCACCTAGTATATAGGTCCTGGATGGCAGGAAGAATAGTTGTTCTAATGAGGTTGGTTTATTACTGTACTGTACTCCCGTTACCTTGTTTATGCAATTAGTATCTTAAATTATTAGTTATCTGTTGCAGTTTCTTGTGGACTGCATATTACCTGATATAATTATAAATACATCATGAATGACAATTTACTCAGAGCCACATATTTTAGTTATTAAAAGTGAAGAATGATTGACCTACAATCAAGTCATTGACTTTTAATAACTAAAATATGTGGCTGTGAGTAAATTGTCATTCATGATGTATTTATAATTATAATCAGGTAATTTGCAGTTCACAAGAAACTGCAGGTTGAAATATAGAAACATGTTTATTAATGACAAATGTGAAACGTTACACACACACACACACACACACACACACACACACACAGCCCCTAGGGACCCAAAGTAATGAGTGGGTATGGCACTGCCTGATTCTGAGTGAATGACACAACAGGATCCAAACATATGACAACATCCATGCAAACAGGAAAATAACTCCCATCTAAAAGTTCTAGGGCTCGATTCAATCAGATTAGTGTTGGTCAACACCCGCGTAGCGGTTGTTTTGGCGGTGCCGGAGGTGGAACTGTGTTAGAGATGTCAAATTCACAAGCGGATCCTTGTGTTACCTTATCGCCTACTCTGCCATTGAATGCAACGAAACCAGCCAACTTTATATCCAACAAATCCCATCCAGCCACGTTACAAACACTTGAATGCGTGATGTTCTATTGTAGGCTATAGGCCCTACTCCTGACCAGACTGATAGGCTTTAAATCCCCCCATCCAAATTAACATGAAAATTATGCAATAGCCTACACTTTCTATCGCCATTTTGAACTTCTAATGTGGTAGGGATAATAAAGACGGGAGTGGTTTGTGACACACAAACAACATTGGGTTAATGCTTGATCTGATTGAATCAAGCCCCTAATTTTAGAAATAAGATAAAAAGGTCTAGAGTACAGCAGAGTCTAATATGGAAACTAGTGATGCTTTGCCATTTCTCAAACCAATCAGGTTTTCTGCATGGGTGGAGTTGGCTGGCAGCAGACTGGGCTGTGGGTGAAGCAGGCCAGGTACTGGTGGCAGCAGACTTGGCACTGGAGGAAGTAGGTTGGACAGTAGTGGGAGAAGCCTGGGTGGGGCTGGCAGCAGAGAAATCCTCATCAGCAGTGGTGGTGCAGTCATCCAGAAGACTACCAACTGTGGGGTCCATTGCATAGTCCTCAAAATCAGTCTCCTCCAAGTCAGGGTCCATGTCCTGCATGGCTTTCCCAGTCTGCCCGAGCAGGTAGTCCACACCAATCAGCTCTCCTGAAAAATGACAAATACAACAGAATGCAAAACAAGACAAAAATTGATGAAAATGATTACTCACAATATCTTCATATCAATACACTGACACACAGTTTTGTTTCTGCCGTGTGTTAATGGATGTAATGATATTAGTTAAGAAATGACAGTGTGGAATGTACTGAGGTTAGAGGCTATAGCAGAGGAGAGTACTTCAGCATCAGCATGCTTCAGTTCGGCTGGCGGGTAGCCGAACCGACCGAGGATGCTCGAATACTCCCTTAAAAGACGTTCGCTTGAAAAAGCGGTACTGTTTGTCCATTTTGAGATGCCGTAGCCAATATACACTTCCTCAAAATAGTCAGAATTAATCTAAGATAATTCAAGAAATATGTCATTAATTTTGACGTTTTTGCAGAGGAGACCTTAGTTGCGCAATTTTACATCTAACTAGGATGTTTGGTGCAGTATTTCTCAATGAAAAAATGAGCTTGAAAACGAGTCGTCTCTTGTTGAATGACAACAGACTTTACTGAAGAATCCCTACAGTTGACCAATCACCGACGAAAGGGCGTAGACTTCGGCTACCGACTTCGGCTTGCCTCAAGAAAAATGGTGTGCCCAAACAACCGTAAAAACCCTTACCGAAGTCCAAAATGAAAAAACAAATGTCACAAAATGTTGTAGTAAAATATGCACAAAGTATTCAAATTGTTTCGGCTGGGAAGCATGCGGACACCTTTAAAGAGGCTCTAGCAGAGCTGTCAGTGCCCTGAGAGACAGCAGTGGTGGTCTTCACAGAGGCTGTAGCAGGGCTGGAGAGGGGCCGGGAGAAAGGGGAAAATGTATAAGATTATTATAAAACCTCATATGAAAATTATTTGAGCGTAAACAGTATTAAAAACAAATATATGTAATCAAACATGCTCTTGACAGGTTAAGCTATAGCTGGGACAATAAACTGAGAGTGATCGACACCGACCATACCGATCACTTATCGCAGGCATTTGGTTGAAATCATTCATTACGATAAGTAGCCTATATTAGAGAAATGTGAAGTTTGAAATGAAATAAGTTTGCTAATATGGGTGATTGTTAATGGGACAATTGATGGCTACAACCATTGAACTAGTAGTAATAGTTTAAAGGGTAGTAAAACAACAACTGTGCTGCAGGTTAATTTTATAAACGTATCGTTCTATTTATTGTTATCGCATCAATTCAGGCAATTTATCGCGATATGGATTTTTGTCCATATCGTCCAGCTCCAGGTTAAGCTACACTGAGTGTAGAAAACATTAAGAACACCTTCCTAATATTGAGTTGCACCCCCTTTTGCCCTCAGAACAGCCTCAATTCATCGGGGCATGGACTGCAAGGTGTCGAAGGTGTTCCACAGGGATGCTGGCCCATGTTTCCCACAGTCTTGTCAAGTTGGCTGGATGGCCTTTGGGTGATGGACCATTCTTGATACACACAGGAAACTAGTCCCGTGTAGCTCAGTTGGTAGAGCATGGCGTTTGCAACGCCAGGGTTGTGGGTTTGATTCCCAGTATGGGGCCAGTATGAGAAAAAAAAAAAATGTATGCACTCACTAACTGTAAGTCGCTCTGGATAAGAGCGTCTGCTAATTGACTAAAATGTAAAAATGAAACTGTTGAGCATGAAAAACCCATCAGCGTTTTAGTTCTTGACAAACTCAAACCAGTGCGCCTGACACCTACTACCATACCCTGTTCAAAGGCACTTAAATCTTTTGTCTTGCCCATTCACCCTCCTGAATGGCACGCATACACAAGCCATGTCTCAATTGTATCAAGTCTTAAAAATCCTTCTTTAACTGGTCTCCTCTCCTTCATCTACACTGATTGAAGTGGATTTAACAAGTGACATCAATAAGGGATCATAGCTTTCACCTGGTCAGTCTGTGTCATGGAAAGAGCAGGTGTTCCTAATGTTTTGTACACTCAGTGTATATCATTTTTACCCGAACAGGCTTCCTAGGCACGTCATGCTGAAATTATAAAGGAAATACCGATAAAAAAAATAAAAATGAATACTGACAATACAGGCATGTGAGATTTAAAACATGACACAATTGTTTTGATGAATGTTAGTTCTAGGTATTAGTTCTAAAATGACCACCGTACAGCGGTTCAGGGATTGGGGCACTTGTAGATGCTGTGTATGGGTGGGGGCACTCAGAGGCCAGAGGAAGGGTGGGGGCACTCACAGAGGCTGTAGACATCTTGGCCGGGCTACAGACATCTTGTGTCTGTAAAACAACATGTAGTTACATTAAGGTTATGGAAGGTTATACTGTTGTAAAAACCGATCAATACAAACCAAGCATTTGACAGGTTAGCTTGTATTTTTTTTACGTAAAAAAGGTTTGGTCTTGCTGCAGACACATGAGAGCCCCCAAACCTTTGCTTACTGAACTGCAAAAGAGAGAGAAAAACCTAATGGTCACAATGAACAGAGGAGGAAACCAAGTCACCTGTCAAAAGGATTATCTGAATCAATGTTCTGTCATGGCAGCAGAGCCATAGTAGTTGTGAAAAAATAATATGACAAAAAATGTAATATTTACCATTGATAACAAGTTCAATGTGGTCCTCAATGGAGGAGTCTTAACAGCAGATCCAGACGCTGGCGGCGCTGTAGGTGTTGGCCCAGCAGGTCCACTGGAGAGACCTGCTTAAAATATAGGGGGGGACAATACTAGAGTATGGTACCTCATTTCAGTAAATCAGAAAAGAGAATACATGTTGTTTTAGCCTGTAAGCGTTATTGAAGCAAGTCCCCGCAGCAATGTTCCAACATCTAGTGGAAAGCCTTCCCAGAAGAGTGGAGGCTGTTATAGCAGCAAAGAGGGGACCAACTCCATATTAATGCCCATGAATTTGGAATGAGATTTTCGACGAGCAGGTGTCCACATACTTTTGGTCATGTAGTGTAATACAGTATGTTTTCTAGATGAACACGTCATAGGCCTATGCATGTTTTGCCATTAACTCTTGTCATGATACATACCTTCTGAAAGAGGTCATACCACCTTTTCTGCCTTGAAGCTGGCCTGTTGCCCCATTGGCAGGCCAAAGCCCTGTGGTGGCAAATGTCCGCAAGCAGGACACCCACTTACTTATAGGGCTTATGGGTCTTTTTAGACATCTGAAACCAACAGGATGAATGTATAACACTACCACAAGAACAATTAGCAATACATGGCAAACCTAATGTAAACTAGGCTAATGCAGTCAGCCTAAAAGAATACACTGTTATTGGGAAATTAGTCTGTATTCAAGCAAGTAGGCTCATCATTGCAAATTTGTCAACAGGCTATGTAAGCTAGGCTTAGCAGACCAGTTCTTTTACCTATGAAAACGAATGCTAGAGTTACTGTACCGTTACCATGCTAGCTAGCTTGCCAGGCTGCTAAGCTAAACACTTTCACAGGGTGGTGAAAGTGCACTGTGATCTTGATGCTCCTTTACAATAAATATTAAAGGTCTTATTCTGGTGACATGATGATCGATACTTGACTGCCGTTTGACAAATAACTAAAAATCTTGTTCTTATCCATAATAATCTCATCATGTAGACTAGCCTACCCACACTGTATCTGCGAGCTGTTGGCTGGAGCGCACGTGCTCAGAACAGTCGGCACATTTTCTATTTAGCGCAACCATTTTTGTGACAAAACTATCGATAGATTTGAAAATGCATTGGAAACACACTGGAAAGAGTACATTTTGTGTACACTACGTCGTCACACACTAGTTTCTATCCGCAACAAGTCCGTTTGGTGGAAACGCCACTGGTGGGAAAATGCACACATTTTCTTTATGCAGATTTTAGAATATTTGCATGAAAATCTGTCACCAATTGGATGGAACCCTAGCTTCTGACACTCCTGCCCCTTTTGCTTTCCTAACTTCCTGTCTTCGTTCTTCCCCAGCTGTACCAGCAGGGTCGGCTCTGCCAGCTGGGAGGGGAGTTCTGTGAGCTGGAGGTGTTTGCCAAAGTTCTAAGGGCATCTGACAAAAGGTAATTTGCACCCCAGTATCTCTATTTGCACATCATCTTTTGCACATCTATCATTCCAGTGTTAATACGAAATTGTAACTATTTTGTACTATGGCCTATTTATTGCCTTACCTCTAACTTACTACATTCACACACACTGTATATATATTTTCTGTTGTATTTTTGACTTTATGTTTTGTTTACCCCATATGTAACTCTGTGTTGTTGTTTTTATCGCACTGCTTTGCTTTATCTTGGCCAGGTCGCAGTTGTAAATGAGAACTTGTTCTCAACTGGCTTACCTGGTTAAATAAAAAATAAAATCTTGGCTCATTCTGTATGGTAATCTGACTTCATAATCATGTGAAACAAAAGGGATCTGACAAGAGCCTTGAGCCAACTTTGAATGTCCTTGTCACACATTTTGACAGATAAGCCTTTATGCTGCTGTTCTCATGTACGTTTGTATCACGTCGTCTTTGTGTGCCTGCAGACACCTCCTGCACCACTGCTTCCAGGCCCTGATGGATCATGGGGTGAAAGTGGCTTCTGTCCTGGCCAACTCCTTCAGCCGCCGCTGCTCCTACATCGCAGAGTCTGATGCCCATGTGAAAGAGAAGGCCATTCAGTTTGGCTTTGTTTTAGGTAGGCACCCGCACCCATAAACTTTCCTCACCTTTCTTCACCATTTCTGTCTGGTTGTACTAATGTTGGCCCTGTCCTGTAGGTGGCTTTCTGTCTGACGCAGGCTGGTATGGTGATGCAGAGAAGGTGTTTCTGTCGTGTCTGCAGCTGTGCACACTGCATGACGAGGTTCTGCACTGGTACCGTGCTGTGGAGTGCTGTGTCAGGTCAGTGGGTCACAGAGAGTTAGTATATTCGGCTCCAATTCTAGTTTTATGGCTTGATACTCTGTCTGTATTTGTCCACAAAAGCTTACCAGACTCACTAATTTCTCTTAGGTTGCTTCATGTCAGGAATGGCAACTGCAAGTACCACCTTGGTGAAGAGACTGTCAAGTTGGCCCAGTTGTACATGGACAAACTGGCCAAACATGGTCATCAGGCCAACAAAGCTGCACTCTATGGAGAGCTGTGTGCTCTGCTCTTTGCTAAGAGCCACTATGATGAGGTATGTTGCCTGGTAAAGATATTTCAGTTGGTTCTGTTAGATTTGTTTGGTGTTCTGGTTTTTCATATAGATCTCATGTCTTTTGCAGGCCTACAGGTGGTGCATCGAGGCAATGAAAGAGATCACAGTGGGTTTGCCTGTTAAAGTCGTGGTAGATGTTCTAAGGCAGGCCTCCAAGGTACGAGTGTTCCCTTTTCCTGTGTTATAGACATGTCTATGAATGTATAAACAAATACTTTTTGAGATGTCCCCATACTGTTCCCCCTATTGTCACATGAGTCACTGTAGGACTGTGTTAGTCATAGATGCTGCTTCGGACTGTAGTTAGTAGGGATGTAACGATTCACCGATACGCATTGGTCCCAGATACAAGTGCATTGGTCCCAGATACAAGTGCATACATCTGGGGACCCCAAACCAATCCAAATGTAGCATACATTGGTCAGAAAATCAATTCAAACGTTAGAAGTGTTTTTTTTGCTGGTTCACTAACATTTATTACATTAATTCTACCTTCAGAAAAATACAGTGCTTTCAGAAAGTATCCACATCCCTTGACTTTTTCCACATTTTGTTGTTACAAACTGAATTTAAAATTGATTAAATATAGATTTTTTGTCACTGGCATACACACGATACCCCATAATGTCAAAGTGGAATTATGTTTTGAGACATTTTTACGAATTAATTAATAATGAATAGCTGAAATGTCTTGAGTCAATAAGTATTCAACCCCTTTCTTATGGCAAGCCAAAGTAAGTTCAGGAGTACATTTTTCATTAAAAAGTCACATAATAGGTTTCATGAACTCACTTTGTGTGCAATAATTGTGTTTAACATGGTTTTTGAATGACTACCTCATCTCTGTACCCCACACATACAATTATCTGTAAGGTCCCTCAGTCGAGCAGTGCATTTCAAACACATTCAACCACAAAGACCAGGGAGGTTTTCCAATGCCTCTCAAAGAACGGCACCTATTGGTAGAAGTGTAAAAAAATAAATAAAAGCAGACATTGACTATCCCTTTGAGCATGGTGAAATTATTCATTACACTTTGGATGGTGTATCAATACACCCAGTCACTACAAAGATACAGGTGTCCTTCCTAACTCAGTTGCCAGATAGGAAGAAAACCGCTTAGGGATTTCACCATTAGGCCAATGGTGACTTTAAAACAGTTACAGAATTGAATGGTTGTGATAGGAGAACTGAGGATGGATCAACAACATTGTAGTTACTCCACAATACTAACCTAAATGACAGAGTGAAAAGAAGGAAGTCTGTACAGAATAAAAAATATTCCAAAACATGCATCCTGTTTGCAACAAGGCACTAAAGTAATACTGCAAATGTGCACAAATTTGTCCTGAATACAAAGTATTATGTTTTTTGGGCAAATCCAATACAACACATTACTGAGTACCGCTCTCCATATTTTCAAGCATAGTGGTGGCTGCATCATGTTATGGGTATGCTTATCGTTAAGGACTAGGGAGGTTTCCAGGATAAAAAAGAAACAGACTGGAGCTAAACACAGGCAAAATCCTAGAGGAAAACCTGGTTCAGTCTGCTTTCCACCAGACACTGGGAGATTAATTCACCTTTCAGCAGGACAATAACCTAAAACGCAAGGCCAAATCTACAATGGAGTTAGTTATCAAGAAGAAAATTAATATTCCGGAGTGGCCAAGTTATAGTTTTGATTTAAATCTACTTGAAAATGGTTGTCTAGCAATGATCAACAACCAATTTGACGGAGCTTGAGAAATTTTGAAAGTAATAATGGGCAAATGTTGCACAATCCATGTTTGGAAAGCTCCTTAGAGACTTACCCAGAAAGACTTGCAGCTGTAATCACTGATAAAGGTGCTTCTCCAAAGTATTAACTCGGGCGTGAATACTTATGTAAATGAGATATTTCTGTATTTCATTTTCAATAAATTTGCAAAGATTTCTAGAAACATATTTTCACTTTGTCATTATGGGGTATTGTGTGTAGATGGGTGAGAATATATTTCATCCATTTTGAATTCAGGCTGTAACACAACAAAGTGGAATAAGTCAAGTGTTATGAATTCTTTCTAAAAGGCACTGTACCTACATATTTTGTGGCAACCGATGCGTCCTCTCCTTCAGTGTCGAAATGCATGTAACTGTGTTGACAGTCATTGATCTGTAAGTCATTTTGCATGCAGAACAACCCCAGGCAATATCAGTAGCCTAGTCAAACTGCGCACTGTGCCCAGCTTGGCGTGCTGACCAACGCGAGGTAGGCGACCTGATCTTGCACATCTGCGCAGCACCTTCAGCATTCAAATGCTAAAATGGCTTGCGTGATATTAGGTTTTAATCTACACACATTACCCCATAATGACAAAGCCAAAACAGGTTTTTAAAAATGTTTGCAAATGTATTAAAGAAAAAGAAAAAAACGGTACCTTATTTACATAAGTATTCAGACCCTTAACTGTGAGACTTGAAATTGAGCTGAAGTGCATCCTGTTTACATTGATCACCCTGGAGATGTTTCTACAACTTGATTGGAGTCCACCTTTGGTCAATTCTATTGATTGGACATGATTTGGAAAGGCACACACCTGTCTATATAAGGTCCCACAGTTGACAGTGCATGTCAGAGCAAAAACCAAACCATGAGGTCGACGGAATTGTCTGTAGAGCTCAAAGACAGGTTTGTGTCGAGGCACAGATCTGGGGAAGGGTACCAAAAAATGTCTGCAGCATTGAAGATCCCCAAGAACACAATGGCCTCCATCATTCTTAAATTGAAGAAGTTTGGAACCACCAAGACTCTTCCTAGAGCTGGCCGCCCGGCCAAACTGAGCAATTGGGGGAGAAGGGCCTTGGTCAGGGAGGTGACCAAGAACCTGATGGTCAGAGCTCCAGAGTTCCTCTGTGGAGATGGGAGAACCTTTCCAGAAAGACAACCATATCTGCGGCACTCCACCAATCAGGCCTTTATGGTAGAGTGGCCAGACAGAAGCCACTCCTCAGTAAAAGGCACATGACAGCCCACTTGGAGTTAGCCAAAAGGCACCTAAATGACTTTGACCATGAGAAACAAGATTCTCTGGTCTGATGAAACCAAGATTGAACTCTTTGGCCTGAATCCCAAGCGTCACTTCTGGAGGAAACCAGGCACCGCTCATCACCTGGCCAATACCATCTCTAATTAAACCGAATCGCACCCAATCATTTCAAACTATAATGTATCGTATTGGAGCCCATGTACAGCATCTAGATACGTATTGAATCGTCTTTAAAGGGAAATATGCACATCCCTAGTTGGCACTTAGTGTGGTTTCATGCCTTTATGTGTTTGGACCAACAGGCCTGTGTGGTAAAGAGGGAGTTCAGGAAGGCAGAGCAGCTGATAAAGCATGCTGTTTTCCTGGCACGGTAAGTTAGGTTCACCACACTTTTTGTTTGTGTGTTGTAGTCCATGTCTCTGTCTCCTTCAGTAATGTCTGTTTCCTTATTGTTTCTGCAGTGAACATTTTGGACACAAGCATCCCAAATATTCAGACACTCTCCTTGATTATGGGTTTTATTTGCTGAATGTGGATAACATCTGCCAATCAGTTGCAATATACCAGGTAGGTGAGAGAGTTAGTCTGAGATGTAGATAGACAGCAGAGGGGAGGTGTATCAGATGTATGATATTGAAACTCTGTTAATATTCCAGACGGCTCTAGATATCCGGCAGTCGGTTTTCGGGGGAAAGAATATCCATGTGGCAACAGCACATGAGGACCTGGCATACTCCTCATATGTCCATCTGTACAGCTCTGGCAAATTTGACAACGCACTGTGAGTAACGTTTTGTCACCCCTAACGATCTCTTATGACCTTAAAAATAAACTCTAAGGCAGTGGTTCCCAACCAGGGGTACTAGGACCCCTGGGGGTACTTGGCCTATACACAGGGGGTACTTGAGAAGACTCATGAGACCATAGGCTTACTGGTAAAATGCACATGAGGGGGTACTCCAGGCAGAGCAACATTTTGTTGGTGGTACAGTAACCGAAAAAGGTTGGGAACCACTGCTGTAAGGTACGTGGTTTCCATTCATGTTATGTTTGTGCTTTTAGTCTCACTTGTGTTTTGACCTCTGAAGTTCATGCAGGCCACTTGCAGTGTCCCTTCCAAAAGTGATGTTCCTGCCTTATTTTCTTTCCTAGGAAATGTTTGTGCTTTAGCTACTGATGTAACTGTGTCACTGAGTTAAATATGTTTCTCTGCTGTGCCCCCTGGGTATGTTGTGTACAGATTCCACGCAGAGAGGGCCATAGACATAATCACTCACATTCTCCCGGAGGATCATCTGCTGCTGGCCTCCTCCAAAAGAGTCAAGGGTAAAACGGCTTTCACAACTATCTGTTTACTCCTGTCCCAAGGTGTCCATGATGGGCACAATGATGTCTGTGATTCTCAACGATATCAAACATTTTCCACTGCTGCCAAGTCAATTACTGTAGAGGAGTTGTTTTATCTTGGAGGTGAATAGAGGTCTGTGTTATTTGGATTAGATCAGTTGATACCTTTTCATCTTTCATTTCCTAACTAACTTGATGTTCAGGTGTACGTCTATGACTCTCTGTACTTCTTCTGACTATTCTGTGCTGCTCCCTCAGCTCTGATCCTGGAGGAGATTGCTATTGACTGCCACAACAAGGAAACAGAGGAGAGGCTGCTCCAGGATGCCCATGACCTCCACCTCTCCTCCCTCCAGCTGGCCAAGAAAGCCTTCGGGGAGTTTAATGTTCAGACAGCGAAACACTATGGCAACCTGGGCCGCCTCTACCAATCCATGAGGAAGTTCAAGGTCAGAATCAGATCATCCCTCCCTTCCAACCCCTGAGACAAGTGTCTGTAGAAAGCATGCAGAGGGTGACCTGTGACACACTTTCATCATAAACTGCCATCCAAATGTTCTCCACAGTGTTTACGAACCCTGTGACACACTTTTGGAGCAGGAATTGAATCTGCTCTCTAAGGAGGCTTAAATGTCACAGAGGCTCTGGGGTTTAATGGTAGCTGAAAAGCCTTATACAGACCCCAAGGCTGTGGATGACAGGGAGGTCTCACCTGTTTTTGTTTTTCAGGAGGCAGAGGAGATGCACATCAAGGCCATCCAGATCAAGGAGCAGCTTCTGGGTCAGGAGGACTATGAGGTGGCTCTGTCTGTGGGCCACCTGGCCTCTCTCTACAACTACGACATGAACCAGTATGAAGATGCTGAGAGGCTCTACCTGCGCTCCATCGCTATCGGTCAGTCACTAGGCTAGATGGGGTCTATTTTACCATTGTACTCTTCTTTTGTAATCTATTCTTCCTCATCCTCCTATTCTATATTCTTACCAGTGTGTGTTTTCCCCCTGCAGGTAAGAAGCTGTTTGGCGAGGGCTACAGTGGACTGGAATACGACTACAGGGGCCTAATTAAACTGTACAACTCTGTCGGGAACTATGAGAAAGTCTTTGAGTACCACAATATTTTATCCAATTGGAACCGGCTGAGGGACCGGCAGTTTGCTGTGGCTGATGCCCTGGAGGACGTCAACACCAGCCCCCAGGCCACAGAGGAGGTGGTGCAGTCCTTCCTACTGTCACAGAACCATGGGGCCGGCCCACCTGCTTAGGCTCCCTACACAGACACATGCACACACATACCCACACGCAGATAGAAACGCTAAGGTGTTCACAGCTCACTTAAATCTATTGAACACACCCTCTCTCCACAGCAAGTTACAGGGTTGGCCTTGCAATGGGACACCTGGCTTAAGGGAAATGCACTATGGCCTGTGGAATGAATCTGATCCAGTCTTTTTGTCATTCTCCTGTGATCAACCCGGCATAGAACATTTGATGGAAGGAATCACTTGCCATGCACTTTGCATTACCTAACACCGCTTTCATCACCTTCAGTCTTCTGTAAGAGGAATTGAGACAAGGGGGGAAAAGAGAACAATGAATACATAGTGTTTCCTAACTATAGAATAGTACATGGTTTTGTTTTCTGCTTCATTTTTGGTCAGACCTTGCCCTTTATTGACCACTGATGTCCCCTGTATGCATGGATTCAGCACCTCTTGGCTTTTTGCTTTGGTCAATTATAAAGAGCCAGAGTTACTTTTTCTGGGTGCAATCCTTCTGTTATTGTTCTAATGTCATGAGGGAGTTTACAACAGCTTTCATCCATGGACCAAATCTTCTGTTCTGTTTCTTTTTGTAACACCTGTTTCTGCCTCACTCTAAAGATGGTGCAGTCTTCATGCATGCGCTTAAAGGTTGTCTGTGATTTGATTAATTTGAAATGCACAAGCATGTGTATTGAATTGGACCACAATTGTGCTCAATAGAGTCGTCGTTGGACCACTGACTTATGGTATATTTGAAAGTGTACGTTAGAGTACCTTTTGAGGAATTTAAATGCCAAGTATTTATAAGTAATTTCATAAAGCTAAACCAAAAACATGTGGGCTAAAACCTGCCATTCAGATGACTCCCTCCCTGTCTTCCAGTGCAAATGCTCAGACTGAGGCCCTCAAGCACACCGTTAATAATAGAATAGGTCTTGTGTTTTCATTTTAGAATGAAGGTAGTAGTAAAGGTAGTAGTGCTAGTGAAGGGTTAACTAGTCCAAAGTAAAGTAATAATGTACTCCATTTTGTATGGAGTAGGGAAATGGAAATGATTGCCTTGCTTTTGAACATGCACGTCTGTCTCATGGCTGTTAATGTTACATGTGCTGTTATATTCCAACTGAAGTCCAAGCCTTAGCCTTAAAGGACGATCAGCCCAAGGTGCTCTTGCTCTGGTTATTAGCATGCTTGCTTTCCGTATGCCAACACTGGAGAGAGATAGGAAGGTCACATGTTTGACCTGGCATACACTAAATGGCCAAAATTATGTGGACAACCCTTCAAATTAGTGGATTCGGCTATTTCAGCCACACCCGTTGCTGACAGGTGTATGAAATCGAGCACACCGCTATGCAATCTCCATAGACAAACAGTAGAATGGCCCATACTGAAGAGCTCAGTGACTTTTAACGTGGCACCGTCATAGGATACCACCTTACCAACAAGTCAGTAAGTCAAATTTCTGCCCTGCTAGAGCTGCCCTGGTCAACTGTAAGTGCTGTTATTGTGAAGTGGAAATGTCTAGGAGCAACAACGGCTCAGCCGCGAAGTGGTAGGCCACACAAGCTCACAGAATGGGACCGCTGAAAAAAGCCTTCCCAGAAGAGTGTAGGCTGTTATAGCAGCAAAGGGGGGGACCAACTCCATGTTAATGCTCATGATTTTGGAATGAGATGTTCGACTAGCATACTTTTGGCCATGTAGTGTATCTGCAAGCTAAGACTGATCATGCTGTCCTCAAATCAAGGACACCCAGTCCTTCTGAGTGAAGACCGCCAGCACTGTTTGTCAGCCAGCTTTACTCAACAGCTTTGTTGTGAAAAGTATTGAACCATTGGTGATGAATTAGGATGAACCGAGTTACAGCTTAGAGACAGAAGGTGACAGGGAAGGCCGTTCTGAGGCAGGTCAAGGTACAGATATAGCATCTTAAATTCTGAACAAGTGAAGCAAATAGACATCTCCGTTTTCAACCCTTTTACGCCCAAGCGCTTTGCCTGTGTACATCTGACAATAAAAACATTTTAGATTTAGGAAATTGGATGTTCAAAAAAGTGATCCACCTTGTAAACGGAGGTTGTGGTCACCCCTGGCTGGTATATGGTTGTCTTTATCTCCCTAGTTTTGTTTACAAGGCTTGAATTGTTTCTGGTGAATGTTACTGTTTGGGCTCCTTAGAATATCTAATGGAATTTGTGATTGTTGCACACATGAATTTGGGGCTGAGCCCCCCTGACCTTTACATCTGTCAGTGTCAGCAAGACTGCTATAAGATTCATTGAAGATGTCTCTCTGGAACAAGGAATAGCTCTCAAGTGTCATCTTGGTATGTTATAGGTGGAACTTCCATTGAGAGTTTATCACTTCAAGATGTATTTTCCACTGGGACTGGAGCAAATACAGCCCATGTAGCTTTTTTTTATTTAGTTTTTAATACATGCTGTCTATATCCTCACATGCATTGCAAGGCACCAGCCTTTTGTACAGCACATTTATTTCCACACTAACATAAACTCCCCTGTAAATAGAAGATTGTCTAATTCTAGAAGTATAACTATGGGCAAGTTTCACAGACCTACATTAAGCCCACTCTTGGACTAAATTGTAGTTTTGATTAAGATTATGACGACTGTCATGGCTAAACTTCATTTTAGAAGATTTGCATCAGAAACTACCCTGTATTTCATCCATAGTTAAACTATGTTCTTGAAATTTTAAGGTCTTGATTATCGACATGTAATTTGGCAAACTCCTGGAATCATTTAATCTTGGTCTGTGAAACTGGCCCTAAATGTGTTTTATAAGAGGAGTATAAGTGCTGTGCCTCTAGGTTACACGTGCAAACACATTTTGAGTTTAGGTATGACTGAGAGAAGTGTCTGGCAGTATTTGCAGAACTAGATTGCAGATATTCCATAAATGCAGTATGAGTTTTTAAGGAACTGTGGTGTGCATTGAAATCTTTTGAGATATTGTATTTATTGCATACTGCTTGAAATGCTGCCTGCTACATAGCTGTGGATACAGTCCTCTGGTTAAGAGTGGCTTTAGTGGTTGTTCATCATGACAGCCATGGCTACCCAGAAAGGTAAAAGGAAATTAGTGGAATGTGTGTACTGAGAACATGTAAATAATTTTAATTTTATGTACTGCCTGCTGCAGTACCCCTAAATTCTAACAGTTGGCAACAGTGACAGACAGATGGCAACAGGTCAGCCCATTATTCTGTCATCGGAGGGGATCTTTTAAATGAAATTGCACAAACAATATGAAATGAAAGGACTTTCAATAATATCCTTTTGTTTCATATCAACACTGTGTTTTTGTACATTTTTTCATGAACATTTTGCAACGCTCTGAAAAGATGAAGGAATATTGACATGTCTAGGAATAAAAAAGACACATGTAAACATCGACATAATCATTAGTGCCACAGTGCGCTCTTTTATGGATAGATGAACATTACTTGGCTTGTGTAACGCAATGCACCACCATTAAAAGATATTAAACTTGTTTGTACATTATGAATCTGTGTCGGTTATTCTTTGGCAATAACACAAACTTTATTAGATAGCTACAGTCAGTAAGTCTTGAATATGTAAACTTGTTGAAATAATTCACGGACCTTGATGAACTGCATCTAGCTGCAGCACTGTAGCAGCCTGTAACTAAAACTACTCTGTCACTAACCCAATACTATCGCCATCTACTGGCCGTGGTTAATCCCTACCACATACATGTAAACTCCTTTTTTTTCGGTCCTTGCTATCCGGAATCCTTGGGACGTCCCCATCCCATTTAAGTTGAAATGTAAAATGGTTAGGGTAGGGTTTAGGGTAGGGACGTCCCAAAGATCCCGGATATCACTGGATCCCGGATATATTCCTTTCCTTCTTCCTTTCCTAACTACTGGCCGTGGCACAGCTAGAACAATGAGCCAGATGTTTCACCAGATGTATAAATCTGAAGTATCCTGTTGGCATTTCACTCACCACCAAATATGGTGATGAGAGGAAGCCCAGTGGCCGGTAGTGAGAGAAGATGAAACATTTGTTCTCAATACAGTTTTCTGTTCCCAAAACTAAAATCTGTTGCGAACAGAGTGGAATAAGTTTTGTACACCTTACAATTTGCTAAAGTTTTTTTAAAAATGATGTTATTCAGAAGGAGTGCAAGGGAGAATGTATTTATTATTGCACATGTGCACTTCACAGAGTAGGCGTTCCCTAATGGAAATATGCAAATATATGCTAGAACGTGCCAATAGGATCTCGCTAGCTCGTGCTTGGCTCGGCCCACCTCCTTGCTTGTTCTGCCAACTATGAAAGAAGGAAAGGAAAGGAAAGGGACGAGGAAAGGAGGAAAGGGATCTAGGAAAGAAAAGGAGGAAATTAAAGGAAGGAGAAAAGGAAGCAAGCAAAGAGAGCTAGGAAAGGAGGAAAGTAGCTAGGAAAAGAAAGGAGCTAAAGAAAGGGAGATAGGGAAGGATGCGAGGAAAGGGGGGTAGGGAAGAATAGGAAGCCAGGAAATGAGGAAAGGAAGCTAGGAAAGGAAAGGAGATAGGGAAGGAGGTGGGGAAAGAAAGGAAGCTAGGAAAGGAGGAAAAGACAGGGAGCTAGGAATGGAGGAAAGGACAGGGAGTGAGAAAAGGAGGAGAGGAATGTAGGAAAGAAAAGGAGGAAAGGAAGAAGGAAAGGAAGCTAAGACAAGGGAGCTAGGAAAGGAAAAAATGAATTAGGAAAGGTAAGGAGATAAGGTAAGAAGCTAGGAAAGGAGGAGAGAAAAGGAGGAAAGGAGTTTCAAGAAAGAAAAGGAGGAGTTCACATGTATGTGGTTGAGATTAACCATGACCAGTACAGAGGAAAGGAAAGGAAAGGAAGAATAAAATGAAGTTAGGAAAGGAAGCTAGGAAAGGAAGAAAGGAAATGGATCGAGGAAAGGAAGAAAGGAATCTAGGAAAGAAAAGTTCACATGTATGTGGTAGGAATTAACCACTGCCAGTAGATGGCGTTAGTATTGGTTTTAGTGACAGGCTAGTTTTATTGTGCTTTCAAGACAACTGGGAACTCGAAAATAACCGAGGTCAAATCATGAAGTCGGAAAGTCTGAGTTTTAGAAAGATGTCCGAGTTTCCAACTTGGAATTCCGAGTTGGATGAACGTTCAAAACGATTTCTCCCAGTCGGAGCTCGTTTTTTTTCTCCGAGTACCCAGTTGTCTTGAAAGCACTGATGTCAGAAGTAGGATATATCTGAGGTCCCAGTTCCCAGTTGTTTTGAACGCGGCAATAGTTACTGTCTGCTGCGGGGCTGCAGCTGGATACTATTGGCCTTGACAGGTGATCACGTGACTTTTAGTCGAGGAGACGTCGGCAAAGTGTCGGTAGACGCGAGGCTAGCTAGACATTATTAGCTAGTTTTGACGGCAGTGTACAAGCTAGTTAAATGAACAGCAGTTGCTAGCTGCCTGTTATATTTGTAAGGCTGCTGCTATGAAATGAGGAAAACATGGGAGCCAAAGAGTCAAGGATAGGTTTCCTTTCGTATGATGAGGCCATCAACAGAGGTAAACATAATTGACGATTTGCTAACCTTGGCTAGCTAGCTAGCTGTCAACATTAGCGTTAGATTCATTAGCTAGCTGGCTAGCTGTCTAACTTAACTTAGGCTAGCTAGCTGTTGTTGGATGGGCAATACGTTGCTAACTTTACTAGCTAGCTAACCCTGTCAAGTGGACTAAGGCTTAATTCAAATATGTCAGCTGGTACAGGTTAGCTAACTAGCTAATTTAGCTAGCTAGGTAGCTAGTACAGCTAGCTTTTGGCTAGCAATGGCATTAGCGTTAATAAGGTGCAGTGCTGCGGTTAGCTAGTTTATATACACATTTTCTTTACCCAAAATGTACGTTACAATACTGCCCTCCGGATCAGGATAGGTTGATGATGACATAGGTGTCCGGGAGAGGTCAACAACCGGAAAATAAGGCCTAGAGCTACTAGTAACTAGCTATCTTCAGTAACTGTCAATGCCCTGTCATCTAGAAGTGCATGCATGACACCACCAAGTAGCAGCTGCACTGAGAAGCTAACGCTAGCTGTTTGTTGACATTGTCAATTTAATAACGTTTTTTTTGCAGATGTTTACTGACTTGACCGGGTCATATTCAACGGGTGTTGGGCGTTTATAAATTCGTTAGTTATTCTGCGCTCTGGCACACTCGGACAAGAGTGCTCTGAAATCGGAGTAGATAGCCAGAGTGAATTTATGAACGCATCTTGTGTCTGTCTGGTGCTCTGATAATTTTTCAATTTATCATATTCATGATATGTTATCATATTCAGGCATAGCCTAGAGCTGGAACAGCAACTGTGCAATCAGGGACTTGGAAGCTCAGTTGGCCCCGTGTAGCTCAGTTGGTAGAGCATGGTGCTTGCAACGCCAGGGTTGTGGGTTCGATTCCCACGGGGGGCCAGTATGAAAATGTATGCACTCATTAACTGTAAGTCGCTCTGAATAAGAGCGTCTGCTAAATGACTAAAATGTAAAATGGAAGGCCATCTACCGGTAGTTAGCTAAGAGCTGACGGAGCTAACTAGTAGTATACTGATGATGATGATGATGATGGTGTGTGTGTCTCCCAGTACTGTATCGTTGACATTGTCTGTCTGGTGCTGTGCCAATGTTTCAATTTATCATATTCATGATGATATAAAAAAAAAAAAAAAAAAATACTGTTTTAAGTGAGAATAGGCATTTGTCTGAAGCCGAAAAAGAAAGGAAATTCATGAGCACCACAATGTCTATTCCACCCATGCTCTACCTAGGTTTTCCAGCACACAGCTTTGACCTACTACAGTAGCTGTGTTGGTATTGTACTTCAAACTACGTATGTGTAGGCAGGTTGCTTATGATTAAAACATTCTCAAACAGCCTAATTTGTCTCCTGAGTGGCGCAGTGGTCTAAGGCACTGCATCGCAGTGCTAGCTGTGCCACTAGAGATCCTGGTTCGAATCCAGGCTCTGTCGTAGCCGGCCGTGACCGGGAGACCCATGGGGCGGCGTGCAATTGGCCCAGCGTCGTCCAGGGTAGGGGAGGGAATGGCCGGTAGGGATGTAGCTCAGTTGATAGAGCATGGTGTTTGCAACGCCAGGGTTGTGGGTTCGATTCCCACAGGGGGTATGAAAAAAATAAAATAATAATGTAAGTCGCTCTGGATAAGAGCGTCTGCTAAATGACGTAAATGTAAATGTAATGTAATTCATACTCTTAGAGGAAGTGCTTCCACAATAATGTGATTTGTACCGCATACAAGGTAAATGCCAAGAGTGTGCAAAGCTGTCATCAAGGCAAAGGGTGGCTATTTGAAGAATCTCAAATATACAATATATTTTGATTTCTTTAACACTTTTTTGGTTACTACATGATTCAATATGTGTTATTTCATAGTTTTGATGTCTTCACTATTATTCTAAAATGTAGAAAATAGTAAAAATAAAGAAAAACCCTGGAATGAGTAGGTGTGTCCAAGCTTTTGACTGGCACTATACAGTGGGGGAAAAAAGTATTTAGTCAGCCACCAATTGTGCAAGTTCTCCCACTTAAAAAGATGAGAGAAGCCTGTAATTTTCATCATAGGTACACGTCAACTATGACAGACAAAATGAGATTTTTTTTCTCCAGAAAATCACATTGTAGGATTTTTAATGAATTTATTTGCAAATTATGGTGGAAAATAAGTATTTGGTCAATAACAAAAGTTTCTCAATACTTTGTTATATACCCTTTGTTGGCAATGACACAGGTCAAACGTTTTCTGTAAGTCTTCACAAGGTTTTCACACACTGTTGCTGGTATTTTGGCCCATTCCTCCATGCAGATCTCCTCTAGAGCAGTGATGTTTTGGGGCTGTCGCTGGGCAACACGGACTTTCAACTCCCTCCAAAGATTTTCTATGGTGTTGAGATCTGGAGACTGGCTAGGTCACTCCAGGACCTTCAAATGCTTCTTACGAAGCCACTCCTTCGTTGCCCGGGCGGTGTGTTTGGGATCATTGTCATGCTGAAAGACCCAGCCACGTTTCATCTTCAATGCCCTTGCTGATGGAAGGAGGTTTTCACTCAAAATCTCACGATACATGGCCCCATTCATTCTTTCCTTTACACGGATCAGTCGTCCTGGTCTCTTTGCAGAAAAACAGCCCCAAAGCATGATGTTTCCACCCCATGCTTCACAGTAGGTATGGTGTTCTTTGGATGCAACTCAGCATTCTTTGTCCTCCAAACACGACGAGTTGAGTTTTTACCAAAAAGTTCTATTTTGGTTTCATCTGACCATATGACATTCTCCCAATCCTCTTCTGGATCATCCAAATGCACTCTAGCAAACTTCAGACGGGCCTGGACATGTACTGGCTTAAGCAGGGGGACACGTCTGGCACTGCAGGATTTGAGTCCATGGCGGCGTAGTGTGTTACTGATGGTAGGCTTTGTTACTTTGGTCCCAGCTCTCTGCAGGTCATTCACTAGGTCCCCCCGTGTGGTTCTGGGATTTTTGCTCACCGTTCTTGTGATCATTTTGACCCAACGGGCTGAGATCTTGCGTGGAGCCCCAGATCGAGGGAGATTAGCAGTGGTCTTGTATGTCTTCCATTTCCTAATAATTGCTCCCACAGTTGATTTCTTCAAACCAAGCTGCTTACCTATTGCAGATTCAGTCTTCCCAGCCTGGTGCAGGTCTACAATTTTGTTTCTGGTGTCCTTTGACAGCTCTTTGGTCTTGGCCATAGTGGAGTTTGGAGTGTGACTGTTTGAGGTTGTGGACAGGTGTCTTTTATACTGATAACAAGTTCAAACAGGTGCCATTAATACAGGTAACGAGTGGAGGACAGAGGAGCCTCTTAAAGAAGAAGTTACAGGTCTGTGAGAGCCAGAAATCTTGCTTGTTTGTAGGTGACCAAATACTTATTTTCCACCATAATTTGCAAATAAATTCATAAAAAATCCTACAATGTGATTTTCTGGATTTTTTTTCCTCAATTTCTCAAAATACTTTTTTCCCCCACTGTGTATATATATATATCTCAGTATACATCATTTTAATAGCAGGACACTGTAAAATTCATTATCCCTCTGAAGAGTATGAATTAGGCTGTTAGAGAAGGTTTGAAACCTAAGCAACCTGCCTACACATAGTTTGAAGTACAATACCAACATAGCTACTGTAGTAGGTCAAAGCTGTGCGCTGGAAAACCTTGGTAGAGCATGGGTGGAATAGACATTGTGGTGCTCATGTGAATTTCCTTTTTTGGCTTAAGACCAATTCCTATTCTCACTTAAAACGTTGTTTTATGTTTTAAATTTCCATTGTTTTTACACCAGAAGGTGATTATGCAACATGCCAGGAGTGTGCAAAGCTGTCATCAAGGCAAAGGGTGGCTACTTTGAAGAATTTCAAATATACAATATATTTTGATTTCTTTAACACTTTTTTGGTTACTACATGACTCCATATGTGTTATTTCATAGTTTTGATGTCTTCACTATTATTCTACAATGTAGAAAATAGTAAAGATAAAGAAAAACCCTGGAATGAGTAGGTGTATCCGAACTTTTGACTGGTACTGTAATTGTGCCATTCCTTTGGGTCGCAGAGATACATCTTCCAAAAATGTATTGATTCGTTACAGGGCCTAGAATTAACACCTGCCAAATGCGAGTAGATTTTGGCATAGCTGGGTAAGATGTCTATTTCACCAGCCACGTTGGCGGGAGGTCAGGGCTCCACAGTGCAAGCAGTGGTCAGGGCTTCACTCGTAGTCAATAAATCAAGTATGAGCACATTTATAGCTAAATTAATGCAACAGTAGCTATTTTCAAAGTGTTTCTGTAGTTTTGTTTCGTAGCTGGTACCGAATCACACAAATAAATACTAATCCTATGATATATATCCCACCTTTGCCTGGCTGGGTAGCTGTGCACACTGATTGATGGGCTGAAGATTCATTTTTAGAAGCGCTGTGCACAGGCATAAAAGTTGGTCTAATTTACTTGAAAGTACTAAAGTGAGACTTTGTCCTTGTGTTTCTTGGCTATTTACATTGTTTTGTTCACAAGAAAGGTTGTTTTTCAATATTTGAGTTTGCTTCAACTGCTAGCGAAGACACATCGCCTACTAGTCAGATTCTTTATCTAATAGCACACTGTCACTGAGGACTCGAGCGGCTTGAGTGCCCTGCCGTCGTTATAATGGTAACCTCCCGCGATACTCGGGTCACAAAAAAATGAAATACATTGTAGCAATATACCACATCACTTTTTACTAGTAATGCATTTATTGTGTAAGAAACATTACAAAGCATGCTCATCTGTTTTTTTTTTAATTATGGCAAAAAATATATTTTGGCTGATATCAAATCTGAGTGGCTGGTATATTTTTAGTGTACCTGCCACAGTGGCAAAAAGTTAGTTTTAGGCCCTGATTTAGTTATGAAAGTTGCTATTGTAATACAATTTAACAGCCATGGTGGTTGTGGGTTGGGGTGAAGGAGTTAAGCAGATAACCTTTGCTTGTACTGGTGACCATGGTTTGATGCTCTGCCGTAACCATACAGTCCATGTTTCATTTACAGAAAAGCGATTGTATTTTTTTCACACTCACTGTGTCTCTATCCCCTCCCAGTCACTGATGTGGAGCTCCAGCGTCTGAAGGATGCCTTCCGCAGGACCAGTGGCCTATCCTGTTACATGAGCCAGCAGTGCTTCCTCAGGGAGGTGCTGGGAGACGTCGTACCACTCAGGGTTGCTGAGGTGAGCCTTTCAACAGACGGCCCCGGTGGTCTTCTGATGTTAGTTCACAGTAGCAGCAAACAGGCTTGACTCTTCCTAACAGATTTAGGAATGTGGTCCTGCAAGTCAGATATCTGGATGGGATTCTCCCCATTTTTTCTCATAATTTCACTGTTATGCTCGACAGTGAAATTATGTCAAGCATAACTTTTGCCCTCAGAACACCTTCTACAAGGTGTCAAGCGTTCCACAGGGATGCTTGCCCATGTTGACTCCAATGCTTCCCACAGTTGTGTCAAGTTGCCTGGATGTCCTTTGGGTGGTGGACCATTCTTGATACACACGGGAAACTGTTGCGCTTGAAAAACCCAGCATCATTGCAGTTCTTGACACAAACCGGTGCGCCTGGCACCTACTACCATACCCCATTCAAAGGCACTTGAATCTTTGGTCTTGCCCATTCAGGCTCTGAATGGCACACATACACAATCCATGTCTCAATTGTCTCAAGGCTTAAAAATCCTTCTTTAACCTGTCTCCTCCCCTTCATCTACACTGATTGAAGTGGATTTAGTAAGTGACATCAATAAGGGATCATAGCTTTCACCTGTTATGGAGAGCAGATGTTCTGTACACTCAGTGTATGTCTAATCATTAGTCAAATTTTGGTTACCCAAGCGACTAACATGGTCACCTTGTTTTAAAGGAGAAGTTTGCTTTTTTACAACCAAATCTAGATTTTTGATGTAAATGTTTTTGAGAAACTTATCCCAACCAGTAATTAACTTCCAAATCGTCGTTGTGCAGTATGGGGCTCTGAAAAAACATCAACAAATGCTCCAAAGACACCCAAATACATCCTTTTAGAAACTGAAAACGCTCTCAGTGTAGTGATGCAGGTCTTTAGATGTTGTACACATGGAATTGGTCATTCCGAACTTTATCCGTAACGTTATATTCAATTTTGTGCGCATCGAGTTCTTTTCCCGATCTAGCTGTTCCAGTATCCGTGTAGCCTACTGCTAAGAGAGACATCGCTCCAGTCGCAACAACATTGAATATAACATTGCGGATAAAGTTCTGAATAACACTTTCATGTGTACAACATCTAAAGACCTGCATCACTATACCGAGAGCTTTTCCGTTTCAAAAGGACATATTTGGGTGTTTTTGGAGCATTCATGTTTTTTTCTGAGCCCCTGTACTGCACACCAAGGATGAGGAAGTGAATCGCTGGTTGGAGTAAGTTTCTCAAAAACAAGTGAAGTCGCAAAGAAAGTGTCTGGACCGTTCTATAACATGCCATTTACATCAAAAATAGCGATTTGGTTGTAAAAAAGCTACATTCTCCTTTTAAAGCTCTAATTAATCTACTACCACCTTTACCATTTGCATGGAGAAAATGATTTCTACAGCGCTCACTCTCCAAAAAACAACAACCTGTCAAAGATAGTAGGTCAGGACTGGGTATGAATGAGTTGACATGTTTACCTGAATTGAACCCAGCTCCCTTCCCCTGTCTCTAGGTGATATACAGCTCATTCGGCGGGACCCCTAAAGGCCTGCACTTCAACAACCTCATTGTTGGCCTGGTCCTCTTGACTAGAGGACGTGATGAGGAAAAAGCTAAATGTGAGTATTGTAAGACAGACTTATGGAACCACTACAGATGTTTGTGTTGACCATGTAATTTCAAGAATAATCATAGTGACTAATATAATTTAATAGGATCTCTGTTAGAATAATATTTAAAGAAAGTCTTTGTACACAATTTATGAAGTTTAAACAAATGGACTGTCTTCACACTTAGTTTTTATAGTGGTGTGTAATTTTTATTCTTGAAAATATCTTCTAATGTGATTCATCCCCTTGTGCGTATCACACGTGACAGAGTTGAATAACAGACTAAGCTTCTTTTGTGGCACTCCTTCAGACATTTTCAGTCTGTTTGCCAGTGATTCGAGCAATCATGCTACGCGAGAGGACATGGAAAGCATGCTGCAGACTGTGGATGGAGAGATCCCACTTTCTCTCAGGAAGTGTTTCTCAGAGGTCAGCTCGTATGCCTTAGTTGATTGAATATGTTTTTTACTGTTTTAAACACACCTTTTGACAGCCATGTTTTCACGTATGACCACCAGGGTGGGTGAACATCTGCTATTACCCATCAGTGGCCCGGTACTTGTTAGGCTACCTTTTTTTCTATTTTTAATCTGCAACATCTGTTCACTACAAACATATCACAATGTATCCTCATGCCTTATCTAATTGTAAGCTGCTGACAGGACTTTTAACCAAGTGCACAGGGCTGCTAATGCTACTTGACACAGGAAGATAATTGCACCTTTGTTCAAGGCTTAGTGGAGATGGATGTCCGGTCAGTATGTTGATCTCTTGTTCTTTTCTTTACCAGGGTGAGAAGGTAAATTATGAGAAATTTAAGAGCTGGCTCCTGCAGAACAAGGATGCCTTCACCTTCTCCCGCTGGCTCCTGTCCAGTGGGGTGTGTGTCACCCTGACAGACGATAGTGACACACCCACCTTCTACCAGACCTTGGCTGGAGTAACACACTGTGAGTGACACTCATCCTGATCCTTTTGGAGATATACTGAACAATAGTATAGGCTATGGGTCTGATATGATCACTAGTCTTGTCATGCCACTTATTGATTTTCTCTTGCAGTAGAGGAATCGGATATCATTGACCTGGAGAAGAGATACTGGCTGCTGAAAGCTCAGTCTCGGACGGGCCGATTTGACCTGGAAACCTTTGTCCCTTTAGTTTCTCCCCCTATTCATGCATCCCTAAGTAAAGGTAAGAGAATACACAGGATGTGGATTTGATTTATTGGATACTTATTTTGAAAGCAATCATTACTACTTCCATCTTCAACATTTTTCCTTGTGTCCAGGTTTGTTTCATGCCTTTGATGAAAACAGGGACAATCACATAGATTTCAAGGAAATCTCGTGTGGACTATCTGCTTGCTGCAGAGGGCCTTTGGCAGAGAGACAGAAGTGTAAGTGGATACACAAGCATTAAGCCTTGCTGTTTGTCATTTTTTCATCACATTAGCTATGTTTCCATTAACTTGTCCAGTTTTTTTTATTTTTTTTACATTTATAAAGTCAGCATAGAAAATAGATACGAGAATTGCCTGCTACAGTCCGTTTCCATTTAACTATCTTGTGTCGATAAAAACAGCTGGACGTAATGACGTCACACCTAGGGCTGTTATGGTGAGGTGACTGTTACGGTGACACCGGTGGTCACGAGTGACCGTTTAGTCACGTAATTAGGGTTCTCCCAGCTCTGATGCTGCTGATGGTCATTAGTAGCCTACCAAACTTGCTAACTGCCTGGTACTCAGCACTCTATTGTCCTTCTAATCACTTTGACATCAATGCAAATGTTTTCGAAATTCTAATCAAACACTTCATGAGAGCCCATTAGCTCATGTTGGGCAACATTTCTATAGACTATGCAATTGCGTGAGAAAACAGAGTTTTGATGGCCTCTATTAAAAAGAGGGGTATGCCATCAGCTTTCTGTAGGCTAGGCCTACTATATTTATGTATCAACTTTCCTAATATTAAGCACATTGCTTCGCTTTATAACATGAGTATAGCCTACCTGGCTGGCATGAAAATGAACCATGGGAAAAGCGTCCTCCATTCGCTATTTAAGTGCATAGATGACATGTATTTTTTTTTTCCATGCCGCTGTTCCGAGACAGGTGAATGATAATGGTCCATTCTAAATCAAAACTAATATCTCACACATATTATTTAGTATACAGTGGGGAAAAAAAGTATTTAGTCAGCCACTAATTGTGCAAGTTCTCCCACTTAAAAAGATGAGAGAGGCCTGTAATTTTCATCATAGGTACACGTCAACTATGACAGCCAAATTGAGGAAAAAAAATCCAGAACATCACATTGTAGGATTTTTAATGAATTTATTTGCAAATTATGGTGGAAAATAAGTATTTGGTCACCTACAAACAAGCAAGATTTCTGGCTCTCACAGACCTGTAACTTCTTCTTTAAGATGCTCCTCTGTCCTCCACTCATTACCTGTATTATTGGCACCTGTTTGAACTTGTTATCAGTATAAAAGACACCTGTCCACAACCTCAAACAGTCACACTCCAAACTCCACTATGGCCAAGACCAAAGAGCTGTCAAAGGACACCAGAAACAAAATTGTAGACCTGCACCAGGCTGGGAAGACTGAATCTGCAATAGGTAAGCAGCTTGGTTTGAAGAAATCAACTGTGGGAGCAATTATTAGGAAATGGAAGACATACAAGACCATTGATAATCTCCCTCGATCTGGGGCTCCACGCAAGTTCTCACCCCATGGGGTCAAAATGATCACAAGAACGGTGAGCAAAAATCCCAGAACCACACGGGGGGACCTAGTGAATGACCTGCAGAGAGCTGGGACCAAAGTAACAAAGCCTACCATCAGTAACACACTACGCCGCCAGGGACTCAAATCCTGCAGTGCCAGACGTGTCCCCCTGCTTAAGCCAGTACATGTCCAGGCCCGTCTGAAGTTTGCTAGAGTGCATTTGGATGATCCAGAAGAGGATTGGGAGAATGTCATATGGTCAGATGAAACCAAAATATAACTGTTTGGTAAAAACTCAACTTGTCGTGTTTGGAGGACAAAGAATGCTGAGTTGCACCATACCTACTGTGAAGCATGGGGGTGGAAACATCATGCTTTGGGGCTGTTTTTCTGCAAAGGGACCAGGACGACTGATCCGTGTAAAGGAAAGAATGAATGGGGCCATGTATTGTGAGATTTTGAGTGAAAACCTCCTTCCATCAGCAAGGGCATTGAAGATGAAACGTGGCTGGGTCTTTCAGCATGACAATGTTCCCAAACACACCGCCCGGGCAACGAAGGAGTGGCTTCGTAAGAAGCATTTCAAGGTCCTGGAGTGGCCTAGCCAGTCTCCAGAGCTCAACCCCATAGAAAATCTTTGGAGGGAGTTGAAAGTCTGTGTTGCCCAGCGACAGCCCCAAAACATCACTGCTCTAGAGGAGATCTGCATGGAGGAATGGGCCAAAATACCAGCAACAGTGTGTGAAAACCTTGTGAAGACTTACAGAAAACGTTTGACCTGTGTCATTGCCAACAAAGGGTATATAACAAAGTATTGAGAAACTTTTGTTATTGACCAAATACTTATTTTCCACCATACTTTGCAAATAAATTCATTAAAAATCCTACTATGTGATTTTCTGGAATTTTATTTCTCATTTTGTCTGTCATAGTTGACGTGTACCTATGATGAAAATTACAGGCCTCTCTCATCTTTTTAAGTGGGAGAACTTGCATAATTGGTGGCTGACTAAATACTTTTTTTCCCCACTGTATGTAAAGACAACATTAAATTAAGAATAGTCTGATGGGTGACAATATTAGCCTATCACTTGAGAATGATGCCCAGCTTGTGCAAGAAACAGCGCATACCTTTGTTTTGCAACTTTTTCAAATCATAGTCGCACACCTCATGTATCCTAGCCCATAGGCCTATATGTGTTGAGAAGGTTTGTATCACAACTAAAGTGGCCAAATAACTTCTTAAAATTAAGCACATTAATCCACTTTATAACCGGTGTAGAGCCTAACTGGCATACCTTGCAAAAGTATCATCCCCCTTGGTGTTTTTCCTATTTTGTTGCATTACAACCTGTAATTTAAATTGATTTTTATTTGGATTTCATGTAATGGACATACACAAAATAGTCCAAATTGGTGAAGTGAAATGAAAAAAATAACTTATTTCAAAAAATTCTAAAAAAGAAATAACGGAAAAGTGGTGCGTGCATATGTATTCACCCCCTTTGCTATGAAGCCCCTAAATAAGATCTGGTGCAACCAATTACCTTCAGAAGTCACATAATTAGTTAAATAAAATCCACCTGTTTGCAATCTAAGTGTCACATGATCTGTCACATGATCTCAGTATATATACACCTGTTCTGATAGGCCCCAGTCTGCAACACCACTAAGCAAGGGGCACCACCAAGCAAGTGGCACCATGAAGACCAAGGAGCTCTCCAAACAGGTCAGGGACAAAGTTGTGGAGAAGTAAAAATCAGGGTTGGGTTATAAAAAATATCAGAAACTTTGAACATCCCACGGAGCACCATTAAATCCATTATTAAAAAATTGAAAGAATATGGCACCACAACAAACCTGCCAAGAGAGGGCCGCCCACCAAAAAGCCATGTGGGAGACTCCCCAAACATATGGAAGAAGGTACTCTGGTCAGATGAGACTAAAATTGAGCTTTTTGGCCATCAAGGAAAAGCTATGTCTGGCGCAAACCCAACACCTCTCATCACCCTGAGAACACCATCCCCACAGTGAAGCATGGTGGTGGCAGCATCATGCTGTGGTGATGTTTTTCATCGGCGGGGCTGGGAAACTGGTCAGAATTGAAGGAATGATGGATGGCGCTAAATACAGGGAAATTCTTGAGGGAAACCTGTTTCAGTCTTCCAAAGATTTGAGACTGGGACGGAGGTTCACCTTCCAGCAGGACAATGACCCTAAGCATACTGCTAAAGCAACACTTGGGGGGGGGGGGGGGGGGGGGGTGAATAGTTATGTTTTTTTGTCTTATTTCTTGTTTGTTTCACAAGAAAAAATATTTTGCATCTTCAAAGTGGTAGGCATGTTGTGTAAATCAAATGATACAAACCCCCAAAAATCAATTTTAATTCCAGGTTGTAAGGCATCAAAATAGGAAAAATGCCAAGGGGGGTGAATACTTTCGCAAGCCACTGTACTTCAGCCATATGAAAACCTTCCATAGCAAAATATACCTTTGCTTGTAGCTTGCTTCTCATCTGACTGGTGTTAGCTAGCTAGCTACAGCTGCTAGCCTGCTACTAGCTAGCTGCTGCTGTTGCGCAGCAACCAAGTTGCTGGTCCCGGTTTTAGATTCAGCTGAAAAGATATTAGCATTGTCAGAAATGCTACAGAAAGGTAGCACATCGTTGGTTCTCTATTGGCATGTGAGAGCGATAAATTATACATTTTAATTAAAACTGTTGCCCCTACAAACGTATTTAGTCCGAAAGGTGGCAAGTCTACTGGTCTAATTATGGACGCTGTAGTCTCTCATTTTTTTTATCCAACGCCTAGATATTGAGCTAGGTTTGGGCAAGACATTTTATTTTCTCCTAATGCTAACGACCCTGTTAAAAGTCCGGTATGTGGTTCTCGGTAGCTTCAATCAATCCCTTCTAAAGTCGCGCTATAAGTATGAAAAATGTTTGCACTCTGGATAAGAGCGTCTGCTAAATTACTTAAATGTAAATGTAGTTTGCTGTCAATGAAAGTGGTATGTCCTGCACACTAACCTACAGGGAGGAAAACGGCTGTACAGTAGGGACACTTTACAAACACCACATCCCCTTGGAGACACAAAGCTATCCTCCAAAATTCTTCTCCCACTGGGCACAAACTAGTTAAATCAACGTTGTTTCAATGTAATTTGTCAACGTTTTGTGACTTGGAATCTACGTGGAAAATACATTGGAGCTATCCAAGCAGAAGAAACGTCTCCTTCAAATGTTGATATTTGGTTGCGCTGACAACCAAACAATTCAATATCACTTTTGCAATATGGTAAATAGCCTATTAACTTGTTAACAAATGATATGTTGGATTCACGTCTCCATCTCAAAGTTTGGGCAAGATAATTTCCACCATAAAAATGCACCTTTTATAATAAAGCATTACATGCATAATCGCATTTGCTGTCACTTTCGAGAAAACATTTTCCCTGCTAATTGATTGCATTTTGGAACATTCATGCTTATAGCCTACTGCGAATGTGCGCATTGCTGCGCTTATAATGTGAAAAAAATTGCCTAATAGTTTATCAACATTTTAAGCTAAATGATCAGCCTCATTGCTTTTAAAAGGTTTTTTGATGCGAGTGGTTGTATTAATTTGGGGATCTGTCGCATCCCACAACTGTCCCAGAGTATGTTTGGAATATTTATTTATTGCACAGAAGGAGAAGTTGACCAATAGAATAGGTCAACTTTTGTACTATGGGGACAGTAGATTGACATAGGCTTGTGCTTTTGCTGTTCGTTAGGCCTACTCATCTTGTTGGCTGACGAAAAGTAGGCCAAATGTGGACAGTTCTAACGTCTTCAATATGCGCCTCGGAATTCAAAGGATGCGTGCAGTTAGGTCCCGGATGTGTCTGTCTTCATTCATTTTTTGCCTACTTCTTAGTTGAAATGCCTGTGAGAAAGACCCAATCATGTGACGGGCATTTGCTACATCTGAGAGAGCCATGTGAGTGAGTGGTGCTTCGGAGCATGGCAGCCAGGAGAAGATAATTATAATTAGCCTATTATATTCAGCCCAAGGGCACAACAGCCACTTTGGCTGTAAAAGGCATGGATTTTTTAGGGGGCATTACGGCCACACAAGAGGGATGCCGCCAGGAAATTTGAGGCCTGGTGAGAATATTATCAAGTGCTTGTCAAATTGTGAATGAGAGACTGATGAAGTGTGTGCAGCTTGCAACTTTTTTCAAATCATCATTAGAGTCCATCATGCAGCCTTAGAATGTATTAAACATCAAAACATATAGCCCAATGTTTGTATCACAACTAAAGTTGCATAAATAACTCTAAATTAAGCATATAGGAGGACCAGTTTCTTTGTTAACTGCTCAACACAGAATAGCCTCGTGCACTTCCTATGAAATCATATGGAGAAAATATCCTTTATTTTATTAAGCTATGTTCAATTGCATTCTTCATACTATAAAATAATAAAAAAGAATACCATGGAATTCTAAGCAAATATTGTTTGCTAAATGAACTAGTGTAGCCCACAGCCATATGGCATAGCAATATAAGGGCCTAACATAAGGGCTACTCAGAGTATGCTATTCTGTTCTTCTGAAATAGACTATATTTTCTTCATATCATGTTTCTTTAGACCTGTTTAAAATAATGGATTTATTGTGATGGTGTAGGCTATATTAAATTGATTTATTATACTTTTTATAATGTAGATGTGCCGAAGGTCTGCATCAGTGGCTTGTAGGCTATGCTTGGAAGCCAGGGCATGCTAAACGTGTTTATGCTAATTCACGGTCAATTACCATGAGACCGGCAGTTATTTGCTTGACAATCACCAGCTGACAAAATTTCATGACTGCCACAGCCCTAGTCACACCCCCAAAAATTATATATACACTTTATTTCGCTAAAACCTACAGTGTTTAATAAAAATGAAGTGGTTGAAGTGTTTCCATTACCCATTTAGGCTAATTGCGATTAATAAATTGACTAATATTTGCCATATTCTAATAATTCTCATGTGCCAACGTATCGCCATGGTCCACGCCATGGTGAAACTTGCACTCCTGTAGATCTGAAATAGTTCAGCCAACAAGAATGTCACGATCGTTAGACGGAGTAGACCAAGGCGCAGCGTGATGAACGAACATACTTCTTTTATTTAATGAATGCACAAGCAACATAACAACAAACGATAACGTGACGTCCTATGTTAAACACAACAAACACGGAACACACCAAAAGGAACAAGATCCCACAAACACTAAGGGAAAACAGACTGTTTAAATATGGCTCCCAATCAGAGACAACCAGCAACAGCTGACACTCGTTGCCTCTGATTGGGAACCACTCTGGCCAACATAGAAATACAAGAACTAGACTGTGAACATAGAACAAAACACATAGAAACTACACACCCTGGCTCAACATATAGAGTCCCCAGAGCCAGGGTGTGACAGTACCCCCCCCCCCCCCAAAGGCGCGGACTGCGACCGCGCCTCCACATAAACCAAACAGGGGAGGGCTGGGTGGGCATTCCTCCTCGGAGGCGGTTCCGGCTCCGGGCTTGCCCACCACCTTCCAATAATCCCCCCGTAGCGCCCCTGGTCCGGTCTGGCCCCGCTGGCTGGAGCTGGACTGGACATCGTAGGAGCGGATTGCTTCAGCTCCGGTGTGGAGCAGCTGACCGGTACCTGACCAGGCACCGGTGACCCAGGCACGGGTTGTGCCGGACTGACGACGCACACCCCTGGCTTGGTGCGTGGAGCAGAAATGGGCCGGACCGGGCTGACGATGCGCACCCCTGGCTTGGTGCGTGGAGCAGCAACGGGCCGGACCGGGCTGACGATGCGCACCCCTGGCTTGGTGCGTGGAGCAGGAACGGGCCGGACCGGGCTGATGATGCGCACCCCTGGCTTGGTGCGTGGAGCAGCTACGGGCCGGACCGGGCTGACGATGCGCACCCCTGGCTTGGTGCGTGGAGCAGGAACGGGCCGGACCGGGCTGACGACTCGCACCCCTGGCTTGGTGCGTGGAGCAGGAACGGGCCGAGCCGGGCTGGCGACGCGCACCGTAGGCTTGGTGCGAGGAGCAGGAACAGACCGGACCGTACTGGGGACACACACCACTGGCCCTACGCAGGGATCTGGAACGGGCCGGACCGGACTGGTAACACACCCCAGTACCTCTCGCCGTGCCTCTACACCTTCCTTCCCCTCTTTGACCAGTGGCCCCCGTAACCTGGCGGCCTCCTCTGCCAACCTCCCAATTCGCCCTGTGGCAGCCTCCTGCTGCCCAGTCGCCCATGCCGTGTGCCCCCCCCCCCCTAATTTTTTTTTGGGTTTGCCTCTCGTCCGTCCGACGACGACACTGTTGACGCCGTTGCTCCTCTCTCGCCAGGGCCTTAATCTTAGCCCATGGCCCTTTCCCCCGAGCATGTCCTCCCAGGACCACACTTTGCCCACCTGGGCCATCGCCAACCTCTCCAGCTCCTTTCCCGGCGCTTCCTCCCATGTCCAGGCTGCCTGCTCCTGGACACGCTGCTTGGTCCTGGTATGGTGGGATCTTCTGTCACGACCGTTAGACGGAGTAGACCAAGGCGCAGCGTGATGAACGAACATACTTCTTTTATTTAATGAATGCACGAGCAACAAAACAACAAACGATAACGTGACGTCCTATGTTAAACACGGAACACACCAAAAGGAACAAGATCCCACAAACACTAAGGGAAAACAGACTGTTTAAATATGGCTCCCAATCAGAGACAACCAGCAACAGCTGACACTCGTTGCCTCTGATTGGGAACCACTCTGGCCAACATAGAAATACAAGAACTAGACTGTGAACATAGAACAAAACACATAGAAACTACACACCCTGGCTCAACATATAGAGTCCCCAGAGCCAGGGTGTGACAAAGAAAAGCAAGGTGAAGGAATTCAGGCATTATTGAAAGTCAGAACAATCCTTGTCCTGCAAAGGTTGGTTATAGTTGAAACAATAGATTTTGCAAGCAGTAGGCATTTAGAATTAAATGTGGAGTGGAGCTTTATAGTTGCGTGATTACATCACGTGCCCCGCAGACCTTCAAAATTATTCGGCAATCATAATTTATTCTAAAAACACAGTTTCCATCGTCATTTGTCGCCATAAAGTTAGACAAAACAAAGATCCACCCCTGTCGAATGGCTAAACATTTTGAAATTTCTCCTGTATCGGTCAGTTCCATTACGCATGGCGCAAGGATTTTGTTTACGACATTGCTTTTGCCGTATAAACCTGGGTCAATGGAAACCTGCCTATTGACAGTTTCAATGTGTGACTTTACCCTTGTTTCTTCTCCCCAGTCTGTTTCAAAGTGTTTGATGTTGACCATGATGGGCTTCTGTCTCGGGAGGAAATCACAGAAATGGTTGGGGCATTACTGGAGGTGTGGAAAGACAATCGCACAGACCCTCTACCTGTAAGTAACATTTGGCCATACTGGACATATGATGGACATACAGTAGACAATGATAACTTTTGTAGTGTTTGTAGTTAGATTATGTTTGTTTTAACCTGTCCCGTAACCACTGAGTTCTTACCTTACGCTGCCTCTGTCCCCTTAGGAAACGCACAGTAATGTCCATGCCATTGTGGAAGACATCCTGAAGGAGCATGACACCACTAAGGTATTACCTTACTGCCTGCATTGCTTTGCATTCTTACATATTTCTTCAATTTTGTCAGAAGTTGTAGAAACCAGCATTTTGTTGTTGTGTTCTTAAGAAAGGGCATTTGACCCTGGAGGATTACCAAATATGGAGTGTGATGAGTGCACTTGCCAATGAGTTCCTCAACCTGCTGTTTCAGGTAAGAGCCAGCCACTGTGTTTCTACTTTGGTCACCATTATGTGCTGTGTGTGCTTTTCTGCTGGATCACCAGTCTTCTGCTCTCCTGTTGCTGCCTAGGTGTGCCATATTGTCCTGGGGTTGCGGCCTGCCTCATGTGAAGAGGAGGGACAGATAATCAGGTGTGTGTGTCACCATGTCATTGTCCTCTCCTGCTGTCATACACATGCCCCTCATCAATCAATCAATCTACCACTCAAACTCATTCACTTGTGTCTGCAGGGGCTGGTTGGAGAGAGAGAGCAGACACGGCCTCCAGCCAGGAGACTACTGGTTCCTCATAGCAGTGCCGTGGTGGCAGCGGTGGAGGGACTACGTCAAATATGTAAGCAAGGCTTTTTCGCTTGACACCAGGATCATCTGTTTCTCATAATGTGCCCACTCTACAGTATCATTTTTTTGCTGATGTGGTTGTTGGCGCCTCGTCCAGGACAACCCGCATATCGTGGTGGAACAGCCGTCAGTGTTTGGCACAGGGAAGAGTGGTGGAGGGGCCGGGGCCCAGACGCAGGCCAGGGTGGAGCAGGGCCCAGAGGTGGAGAGCATGGCCAGCTCCCACAGCTCCCCAGAGGAGAAGTTCTCAGACAACATCTCCAGTGCATCAGAGGCCTCTGAGACAACCAGTGGCAGTGAGTGGCTAAGAATTCTCAGCACTCAGCGTTGCATTTAGCAAAACAGTTGGATACTAGTATAGCTTAAGGATTGCATATCTGTTAACTATTGCATATCTGAGAGTAAGTCTTCCATTGAATGTCACTGAAAACTTAACAAATTAATTTGCTATTTTTAGGCATTCTACCCCTGGGCTCGACTGCTACGGATATCTGCTTTGCCCGGCAGTATGACATCCCAGACACAGACAACCAGTGCCTCCTGGGGGCTGATGGGAACATGGCAGTTCTAAGGCCTGGGGCCATCGATAACCAGCCTCTGGTCATGTCGGAGCCCTTAAAGGTACGGTAGGCACTACCAACAACACTGTGGAAGTATGTTCCTAATCCTCAAACTGATATTGCCATATTGTTTCAGTTTTAAACCTGTCCCTCTTGAACTGTTTGCCCAGGCTCCCACATTGACCATGGAGGGGGGCCTACTGAGGCGCTCCCCATCCCTGATTCTAAGCAGGGACTTTGAGGTTGTGCCAGAGCCTGTGTGGAGGGCACTTTACCACTGGTACGGAGCCAACCTGAGTCTCCCCAGGCCGGTATGTACAGTTTAACTCTATGAAGCAGATCCACTTGTGGATTTCCCAGTTACCATTATCATCGCTATTGATCCTGATATTGTGATAACCTCACATTCCCATCCCCTCTCCTCTTCTCCTGTGGGCATTCCCAGGTGATCAGAAACACCAAGACAGACTGTGCTGAGCTGGAGCTGTTCCCCCGACACCTGCTCTTCCTGAGGCAGCAGCCCCCCGCCCGCACCCCCCAGAACAACGTCTGGGTCAATATGGGTAAGAGCTTCCCCTGCATGCGTCTCCAGCACCTTTCCAAAGGAGGGACAAGCGTAGCACAAGGGCCTAGTCACCTTCTGCTCCAAGAGTGTGCAGGGTCAGTGCCAGTCTGTGAGTCTATTTTTACATCCATGATGTAATCTGATTATTTGACAATCAGACCTTTGTCTGAAGCGTGTCTGATTTAGATCATACTCTACATTCAACTTGTTTAAAAAAAGTTTTACTATTTTTGTATTTCTTTAATTATAGAATAGTTTGTCCTGTTGAATAATAGTTCCAGAGTGTGCAGCTTGTGAGATCGGCTCTCTGTTCTCTCTCCACACAACCAATACATCGTTTTTTTTGTGGCCTTTACATGGACGTCACAAGACTTGTGGCAGCACAGGGACACATTAATCTCAGTCATGTGAGGTCACTTCTGTGTGGGGAAGTGAGTGCTCAATATTCTTACACCCTTTTGTCTGTGACACTCAGGGCAATATCCTAAGATATGCACGCTCCATTGACGTCAATGCATGATCTGCGCAGATCTCAAGTTAGGAGTTGGGCCTCATTGTATGACAGAGCATTTGGCCACAGCAAAATATTCTGGAAATTAGCTACGACAAGCGTTTACAGTTTTCCATCTATGAACAGTAGTTAATGGTGTCTCCCGGTCCTTCCCCAGGTAATGTCCCCTCTCCTAGTGCCCCCCTAAAGCGTGTGCTGGTCTACACGGGCTGTTTCAGTAGGGTGGGCACCATCAAAGACATCCATGAGTACCTGGCCCAGAGACTCCGCATCAAGGAGGAAGACATGCGCCTGTGGCTCTTTAACAATGAGGTGAGTGGGGACTCAGAAGGTTGATTCAGCATCAACACACACACATGCACAGTAAACACTCAAGCTCCAATACACACACAAATGCACGCCACATATATATATTATTTTATTTACAGTTAAATCTCCAATATCTTTCAAAACGATGTATTCCACAGAATTATCTGACCCTTCTTGATGATGAAGACCATTCCCTGGAGGGGTTAAAGATCCCAGATGAACAGTACATGGTTATAGAAGGTATGCATCATAATGAATCTGTGTTTAAATGGATTCGTCATGTATTGTCAGGATGAGTAGATTAAAGTTTCTTTGTGTTCATTAGTAAGGAGCAAGGACATGAGCTGGCCCGAGGAGATGTCCTTCATCGCTAACAGCAACAGGATGAACAGACACAATGGTGAGACAGTCACTGCATACAGCTACATCATTACAACATTAGCACTACTATTGTGTAATCCTTATTGGGTCAGTCCACCTCCAAAAGCACAAGAAAGGATTTCGTCACCCACCATCTCAATTTCTGTAGTTGGAAACAGATAAGATTAGCATTCCTAAAACATTATTTTGTTTAAATATCATTTGATCTCTGAGAAATTAAGCTAATTGATTGCACCCAAATTGGCCATTTTTAATTTATAGGATTCATATAGCGAACATCGGATTTGGACCATAATTCTTCCAAACAATGAGTAAGACATGATGAATCCAATAAAATGATCAAAAGCCTCCCACAAGCACCAAAGGGAGAGCCCTCTCAGAGAACTGCCATTTGTTGGACTATTCGAAGAGAATTGGGTTGAAGCATTAGGTTGCTAAGAGAAAGACAAACTGAATTGCTTTCATGGAGGACTGGCTTGACTATTTATTTTCATCATTTATAGTCCCGTGTAGCTCAGTTGGTAGAGCATGGCGTTTGCAACGCCAGGGTTGTGGGTTCGATTCCCACGGGGGGCCAGTATGAAAAATAAAAATAATTATGCACTCACTAACTGTAATTCGCTCTGGATAAGAGCGTCTGCTAAATTACTAAAATGTAAATGAGCAAAAGCTATTGATTTTCTACCCAAAATTGCAAAGAAAATGTTGTGATCCATTACTTTCACACTAATTTATGGTAAATTATGCAAGATACTTCAATGGCTAATTTCTCTGAGCAGGGGAGGAAAAAAAACATCACCAGATTCACAGGGAATACATTACATAGGATGAAGAATCAATACTCCAAGCCTCAGCTCCATACTGATACTGGTTGTTGTGGTGGTGTGTGGGGGTCCGTGGGTGGCTTTTGACCATTTTATTGTCTTACTCAATGGTAGGAAGAAGTTTGGTCCAAATTGGATGTTGGGTACTATATTAATTGAATATATTATGTGAATCCTATAAATTAAAATGGCCAGTTTGGGCGCAATCAATTTCTCAGAGCTCAAATTAAGTGTCAACAAAATAATGTTGCAGGAATGCTAATTTCATCTGTTTTTAACTTCAGAAACGATTTCAGAATAATCTGTGATGGTGGGTTTCATGGCTTGCTGAAATGACATTGAACGACTATTTAGAATGTAACACTAACTGAGCTGATAAGTCCTTTGATATATTATAGATAAGTCTGTCAGACAATACTTGTTTTGCTTTCACCAAACATTAAAGCGGTCGTACTGACTGTTGTAGAAGCTTTTGATGGTTGAATAGCATCCTCAGACTGTTGCCTCCTCCTGTTCACAGTCCCTACTGAGAAAGGTGCGACTGGACTGAGCAACCTTGGCAACACGTGCTTCATGAACTCCAGTATCCAGTGTGTGAGCAACACCAAGCCTCTCACAGACTACTTCACTTCAGGAAACCACCTCTACGAGCTCAACAGGTATGTGTGCATTATTTTAGATTGACAAGAATGCATTCTTATTATACAATAATGTATTTTTATTATACATGCTTATTATACACTTTGGGCAAAACGTTGGTTAAATAAACCCACAGCAAGCAGAGATGAGTCTGCGAGTTTCTTTTTCATTTGTGCTTTTTGTCTTCATAACAGGACCAATCCCATTGGGATGCGCGGTCACATGGCCAAATGCTATGGCGATCTGGTACAGGAGTTGTGGAGTGGAACACAAAAGAACTTGGCCCCTCTGAAACTCAGAGTATGTCAAACAAGCCTTCAACTGACACCCCCCAATAACACTACAGTCTACCAACCTAAAAAGTACAGTCTTTCAACCTAAAAAACAAGAGTCAAATGGTTGTCGTTTTCCCTTCTCTCCTTGTCTACCCTGTCCCTTCCCTCAGTGGACGATAGCAAAGTACGCCCCGCGGTTCAATGGCTTCCAGCAGCAGGACTCCCAGGAGCTGCTGGCCTTCCTGCTGGACGGCCTTCACGAGGACCTGAATCGCGTTCACGAGAAACCCTACGTGGAGCTGAAGGACAGCGACGGGCGGCCAGACTGGGAGGTGGCTTCTGAGGTCAGAGTTCATACCCACTTTTCCTATCTTCATAGTGGAGCGATGCAGAAATGAGGCCCTGGGTGAATTACCTCATGTAGTTGTTGAGTGTAAATGTTGATTTGAGGGTGTAATATTAGCTTTCTGTGCCGTCTTGAACTGCTAGAAGTTGTCTGGTGTGATGATGGTGAGTTGTGTTGTGTTCCCCCAGGCGTGGGAGAATCACTTGAGGAGGAACCGCTCCATCGTGGTGGACCTGTTCCATGGCCAGCTCAGGTCACAGGTCAAGTGCAAGACCTGTGGCCATGTCAGTGCCCGCTTTGACCCCTTCAACTTCCTCTCTCTCCCCCTGCCCATGGATAACTCCATGCACTTAGAGATCATAGGTGAGCCTTATAATGCAGTGTATACAGCACTACAGTTCAGTTCAACATCCAGAAAACATTTCCCAAAACATCAGAGATTAGCATCATATTGGAGATATTTGTCTCAGGAAATCTGTCGCCTGTCCACCCTTTCTTGTGCTAGCCTCAGAGCTTTACAGTAACAGTGTGGTGTTGAATAGAAAGCTCTTTTGTTCCTGTTGTCTTGTGAGAGAAAGTACATTGGATCCCATGCCTCTGCAACACTGCTCTTTGTTTCCTCTGTCCAGTCATTAAGCTGGATGGGTCATGCCCAGTGCGGTATGGGCTCCGGCTCAATGTGGATGAGAAGTACACAGGCCTGAAGAGACTCCTGAGTGAGCTCTGCTGCGTTAACCCTGAGCAGATCCTACTAGCTGAAGTCCATGCCTCTAACATCAAGGTAGAGCCTTCATCAGCCATCATCATCTGTCCTCATCACTGTCCATCCAATCATCACACTGTCAATATGCACACAGACTAGTGAAAGTGATTGTCTGTCTACCCTATTTTTATTTTTAGAATTTTCCACTGGACAACCAGAAAGTGCGTCGGGTGGTGACCGGCTTCCTGTGTGCGTTTGAGATCCCGGTGCCAGGCGTGTCCACGTCTGTGGTGTCTACCCCCACAGAAACAGATGGTGATGGTATACCGATTGGTTCTTCTGTTTAACAGTGGTTTCTTCTCTTTTCAAAGCCATTGTCATAAGGCTCTTTTTAAAAGCAATCAGTGAAAAGTGATGAAAGGGATTTAGAATGCAAAGAAGTAGCAACCAAGAACATTTTAGAATTCAACAAATGCACAGGTTTTAGATAACAGATGGAAAGGTAGATACTTTGACACTGAACAATATAACAAAGCTAAATGACCGTCACAGAAGCTGTCAACACTGCTGTTATGTCTTATTTGAGTCTTCACTGACAACATGACAAGCTGTTTGTTCTTCATGTCATCTCCAGAAGCTCCAGCGCTAGCGAATGGGAACGCTGCCATGGTAACTGAGAGGAACTCTCTGAAACTGGGACTGATCCCCAAGGGCATGCCCAGCACTGTAGTGCCCTGTGTCACAGAGGGCAGCCTTGCCAACGGTCTCCCCAACGGCCACGTGATGCCCCCTCTGGACAGCCCCTTCTCTGGGTACATCATCGCCATCCATAGGAAGATGGTGAGAACTGCAGGATGGGCTAAAGATGGAGACAAGATTATCAGTGCATCAAGATTAGTCAAAGTCTATAATGCTCACTTCTAAACAAAGTGTCATTTGTGTTTGTTTCCTAGATGCGGGCAGAGTTATACTTCCTGTCCAGTCAGAAGAACCGTCCCAGTCTGTTTGGGATGCCATTGATCGTGCCGTGTACAGTCCAAACCAGGACCAGGGACCTGTATGATGCTGTCTGGACCCAGGTGTCCCGCCTGGCCAGTCCCTTGCCCCCTCAGGAGGCCAGCAACCACGCCCAGGACTGGTCAGTCTCTCCAGACCACTCTCTGTATTATGTCAGGTTGCTTTGCAGTGCCCAGTGTTATCCTAATGGCACAGGTGTGTGATACTGATGTGTGTTTTATTTTGGGGATTTTTGTGAACACACAGTGATGACAGCATGGGCTACCAGTATCCCTTCACCCTGCGTGTGGTGCAGAAAGATGGCAACTCCTGCGCTTGGTGTCCGTGGTACAGGTAATTAAGTCTGACACACAGTACAACATATCACAATACGGTTGAAGATGGAGAAGGTGTTAATTGATACCCTCTGTTGTTGTGCCCCTCAGGTTCTGCAGAGGCTGCACAGTGGAGTGTAACGATGACAGGGCTGCTGTGGGGAATGCCTTCATGGCTGTGGACTGGGACCCCACCGCTCTGCACCTCCGCTACCAGACCTCTCAGGAGAGGGTAAGAGAAACAAATGCGTTGTTGAAAATTGTGTTTTAAATAGTGTTGTAAAAGTAGCCAACTCTCATCTGGCTATAGTTAGGCTACCTCTTCAAAGGGGGTGACACTCTAGATCCAAACTGTTACAGACCTATGTCCATCCTGCCCTGCCTTTCGAACGTTTTTGAAAGACAAGTTAACAAACAGATCACCGACCATTTCGAATCAGACCGTACATTCTCCGCTATGCAATACGGTTTCCGAGCTGGTCATGGGTGCACCTCAGCCACGCTCAAGGTCCTAAACGATATTATAACCGCGATCGATAATAGACAGTACTGTGCAGCCGTCTTCATCGACCTGGCCAAGGCTTTCGACTCTGTAAACCACAGCATTCTTATTGGCAGACTAAATAGCCTTGGTTTCTCAAATGACTGCCTCGCCTGGTTCACCAACTACTTCTCAGATAGAGTTCAATGTGTCAAATCGGAGGGCCTGTTGTCTGGACCTATGGCAGTCTCTATGGGGGTGCCACAGGGTTCAATTCTTGGGCCAAATCTTTTCTCTGTGTATATCAATGATGTTGCTCTTGCTGCTGGTGATTCTCAGATCCACCTCTACGCAGACGACACCATTTTGTATACATCTGGCCCTTCATTGGACACTGTGTTAACAAACCTCCAAACGAGCTTCAATGCCATACAACACTCCTTCAGTAGCCTCCAACTGCTCTTAAACACTAGTAAAACTAAATGCATGCTCTTCAATCGAACGCTGCTGGCACCCGCCCACCCGACTAGAATCACTACTCTCGACGGGTCTGACCTAGAGTATGTGGACAACTACAAATACCTAGGTGTCTGGTTAGACTGTAAACTCTCCTTCCAGACTCACATTAAGCATCTCCAATCCAAAGTTAAATCTAGAATCGGCCTCCTATTTCGCAACAAAGCCTACTTCACACATGCTGCCAAACATGCCCTCGTAAAACTGACTATCCTACCGAACCTTGACTTCGGCGACGTCATTTACAAAATAGCCTCCAACACTCTTCTCACCAAATTGGATGTAGTCTATCATAGTGCCATCCGTTTTGTCACCAAAGCCCCATATACTACCCACCACTGTGACCTGTACGCTCTTGTTGGCTGGTCCTCACTACATATTCGTCGCCAAACCCACTGGCTCCAGGCCATCTATAAATCACTGCTAGGCAAATCCCCGCCTTATCTTAGCTCATTGGTCACCATAGCAACACCCACCCGTAGTATGCGCTCCAGCAGGTATATCTCACTGGTCATCCCCAAAGCCAACACCTCCTTTGGCCGCCATTCCTTCCAGTTCTCTGCTGCCAATGACTGGAACGAATTGCAAAAATCTCTGAAGCTGGAGACTCTTATCTCCCTCACTAACTTTAAGCATCAGTTGTCAGAGCACCTTACCGATCTCTGCACCTGTACACTGGTAGAGCACGGCGCTTGTAACGCCAAGGTAGTGGGTTCGATCCCCGGGACCACCCATACACAAAAATGTATGCACGCATGACTGTAAGTCGCTTTGGATAAAAGCGTCTGCTAAATGGCATTATTATTATTATTATTATTATTATTATTACACAGCCCATCTGAAATTAGCCCACCCAACTACCTCATCCCCATATTATTTATTTTGCTAATTTGCACCCCAGTATCTCTATTTGCACATCATCTCTTGCACATCTATCATTCCAGTGTTAATACTAATTGTAATTATTTTGCACTATGGCCTATTTATTCCCTTACCTCCATAACTTGCTACATTTGCACACACTGTATATATATTTTTCTGTTGTATTTTTGACTTTATGTTTTGTTTTACCCCATATGTAACTCTGTGTTGTTTTTATCGCACTGCTTTGCTTTATCTTGGCCAGGTCGCAGTTGTAAATGAGAACTTGTTCTCAACTGGCTTACCTGGTTAAATAAAGGTGAAATGTAATACAGTGAGGAGAAAAAAGTATTTGATTCCCTGCTGATTTTGTACGTATGCCCACTGACAAAGAAATGATTAGTCTATAATTTTAATGGTAGGTTTATTTGAACAGTGAGAGACAGAATAACAACAAAAAAATCCAGAAAAACGCATGTCAAAAATGTTATAAATTGATTTGCATTTTAATGAGGGAAATAAGTATTTGACCCCCTCTCAATCAAAGATTTCTGGCTCCCAGGTGTCTTTTATACAGGTAACGAGCTGAGATTAGGAGCACACTCTTAAAGGGAGTACTCCTAATCTCAGTTTGTTACCTGTATAAAAGACACCTGTCCACAGAAGCAATCAATCAATCAGATTCCAAACTCTCCACCATGGCCAAGACCGAAGAGCTCTCCAAGGATGTCAGGGACAAGATTGTAGACCTACACAAGGCTGGAATGGGCTACAAGACCATCGCCAAGCAGCTTGGTGAGAAGGTGACAACAGTTGGTGCGATTATTCGCAAATGGAAGAAACACAAAATAACTGTCAATCTCCCTTGGCCTGGGGCTCCATGCAAGATCTCACCTCGTGGAGTTGCAATGATCATCAGAACGGTGAGGAATCAGCCCAGAACTACACAGGTGGATATTGTCAATGATCTCAAGGCAGCTGGGACCACAGTCACCAAGATAACAATTGGTAACACACTACGCCGTGAAGGACTGAAATCCTGCAGCGCCCGCAAGGTCCCCCTGCTCAAGAAAGCACATATACATGCCCGTCTGAAGTTTGCCAATGAACAAACATGGAGGTGGAAACATTGTGCTTTGGGGGTGTTTTTCTGCTAAGGGGACAGGACAACTTCACCGCATCAAAGGGACGATGGACGGGGCCATGTACTGTCAAATCTTGGGTGAGAACCCAAAAATGGGTCGTGGATGGGTATTCCTTCATGACAATGACCCAAAACACACGGCCAAGGCAACAAAGGAGTAGCTCAAGAAGAAGCACGTTAAGGTCCTGGAGTGGCCTAGCCAGTCTCCAGACCTTAATCCCATAGAAAATCTGTGGAGGGAACTGAAGGTTCGAGTTGCCAAACGTCAGCCTCGAAACCTTAATGACTTGGAGAAGATCTGCAAAGAGGAGTGGGACAAAATCCCTCCTGAGATGTGTGCAAACCTGGTGGCCAACTACAAGAAACGTCTGACCTCTGTGATTGCCAACAATGGTTTTGCCACCAAGTACTAAGTCATGTTTTGCAGAGGGGGTCAAATACTTATTTCCCTCATTAAAATGCAAATCAATTTATAACATTTTTGACATGCGTTTTTCTGGATGTTTTTGTAGTTATTCTGTCTCTCACTGTTCAAATAAACCTACCATTAAAATTATAGACTGATCATGTCTTTGTCAGTGGGCAAACGTACAAAATCAGCAGGGGATCAAATACTTTTTTCCCTCACTGTAAAATAAAATAAACATGCTGATCGGGGCTTACATAAGATTTTATTTCAACTGTTCAGGTTCACCATCAGCAATAGTTTTGGTAGTTTTGCTTTAAACAATCAGTATGTATAGTCATTTTTAGATATATAGGGTAAAGTTGATAATTTCATAACGAGGACAGCAATCACTTTTGCTACCCGCATGGTCGAAGCAGGAGAAGAGAAGTTCACTCAGAGTCTGTCAACTTCCAAACGGTCTAAACCATTCGACTATGAGACGGAGGTGAAATCCAAAGTTGTGCTATATATTAATTTGCTATGTCATAGCACATTTTTTAAGATAAATATTTATACATTACTAGCTCTAACACTTTTAATCTGCAAAAATGACATTAATTAGTGGTTGATGGTGATTTCAGGTCAAAGGTGGGGGGGGAACAAAAAGCAAGCATTGCTCCCCCTAACTGATAGTGGGGTGGTAGATGCCCAGTTTCCATTATGGCTCAGGTCAGGTGCCTACATACACCATAGACCAGTGGTATTCAAACCTTTTCAGGACCCCATTTTTGGGGGGATAGAATTCCTAGGGAACCCATTTTTTCCCGCCTGAAATTCTGTTGACCCCACCCCAAATCAAATGACAACCTTAAAATCTGTAAATGTGTAATTTTTTATAAACATATTTTTATTTGGCGACCCAACTGCAATTCCACCCGTCACGACCCCGACTTTGAATACCACTGCCATAGACATACATCATTTACACACACAAACACCCAGAAGTCAGCTCAGACAGATCCAGCTCAGAGAGGCCCAGCTCATGAACTCTATCAGCAGCAGATTTGAATTTGGAATGGAAAATGGATGTGTTTATGCAACAAATGTTAGTGCATCGTATCACATTGATTCGTTCCTCTAATCAAACCGAAACGTTTCAAACTAAAATGTATTGTTTCTGAATCGGAGCGCATGCATCGAATCGTCTTGAAAAGGAAAGATGCACATGCCTAATTTATTACATATCTAATGGAAAGACGACATACTAAGTAATGTGTGTGTCCTGTAGATCGTGGAGGAGCACCCCAGTGTGGAACAGAGTCGCAGGGCCCAGGCAGAGCCCATCAGTCTGGACAGCTGTCTGCAGGCCTTTACCAGTGAGGAGGAGCTGGGAGAGGATGAGCTTTACTACTGCTCCAAGTGCAAGACCCACCGCCTGGCCACCAAGAAATTAGACCTGTGGAGGCTGCCGCCCATCCTGGTCAGATATACAGCTCCTTCACTCTGCATTAACTCCCCAGTCCTCTCCCTATTCATTTTAGTGTCTATAGGCAACAGTTGAAACCTATGCAAAGCCTAATAAAGAAACTCCAGTCAAACAGTTTGAATGCCATGTCTGAAGTGCAAGATTGCACAGGACATCACCCACTCTAAAACTTTATTCTGTCCATTTGAATTACAGATTATTCATTTAAAACGGTTCCAGTTTATGAATGGGCGGTGGATCAAATCCCAGAAGATTGTGAGGTTTCCCAGGGAGACATTTGATCCCAGTGCTTTCCTGACCCCAAGAGATGCAGACCAAAGCCAACAGAGCTGGAGGGACGGGCTAGGGGAGGAGCTACACGACACAGTGGGAGGAGTACCAAAGTCTGGGGGTGGAGACACTGTCTGTAACCCCACCCTGACTCTCAACAATGGGAAAGGTTTGTAAAGAGTCTTGACTGGTTTCAGATGTAGCTGTCACATCCAACTTATTCCTTTAGAGAGGCTGGTGTTCATCTATGAATGTATGTGTCTGTTTTCAGACTCTCTGTGCTCAGGGAGGATGGCCAGCACTCCCCTCAGCGGAGATGTCAGCCCCAACTGCAGCCCACAGAGTGAGGGCAGGAGGCAGGGCTGTGGACGGGTGTTGCCCATGGAAAGCAGGTACCAGCTATCCCTCAGTAAAGAGAGCCTGGACAGTGGCAGGGAGAGCCCCATGGAGCTCGAGGCCAGTGGGATGGGGAGCAGGGGAGAGGGCCTCAACGACTCCACCTCTGGAGAGGACACGGCCAGGGACTGTGACAACACAACGTCTGTGTCTGAGCTGGAGAGCAATGGCTACACCGAGGACAGCATAGATCTGGAGGCCTCTCAGGACCAAAGAGACAAAATCTGCTTGGACCCCATGTACAACTTGTATGCAATTTCAGTAAGTATTAAATATTAGTTTTTCTCTGTAAGAATATTGCTCTTATAAGCTGAAGACGCAGGAGTGCAAAGTGACTGTCAATCTACCATCTGAAATATCCTCTAACTACCAATCACTTTTGTGTCTGTAGTGCCATTCAGGGATCCTCGGAGGAGGCCACTATGTGACATATGCCAAAAACCCAAATGAAAAGTGGTACTGTTACAACGACAGTAGCTGTAAGGTAAGTTAAGTCATGAGTTTTTATTCCAAAAACAGAATTTAAATCTCTGGTATGTGATGCAGTGTCCATTGTCGTCTTTAACTCAGTTATTTTAAGTTCACAAGTATAAACCGAGCCTCACTGTGTTTTCTGTGTTCAGGAGTTGCGGTCAGAGGAGATTGATGCAGACTCTGCCTATATCCTGTTCTACGAGCAGCAGGGAGTGGATTATTCTCTGTTCATGCCCAAAACTGACGGCAAAAAGATGGCCGACACAACTAGCATGGACGAGGACTTTGAATCTGACTATAAGAAGTACTGTGTTCTTCAGTAATGGACTGTTGATGTGTCAATGTGCTGCTGGTTCATCGACATGCTTGTGCTAGAAAACCACCTTACTATTTGAATCTGAAATCTCTCAGGTTGAGATGAGCTGAACCTTAGAAATCATCCCTGGTGGTTAGAAGTGGACAACAAACCATTTTTACTCCACCTCTTCATAGTGGATAGACATTTTTTCAAGCAATGGTACTCAATAAATTTTGCGTTAGCGATGTCAAATAAAACAGAGGGCTGTGTATTGGTTTGTTTCAGTATTAACACCTTGTCGGAGGGTGACCATACTTAGGCCCATGGTGCTGGTCCTAGGCCAGATGTGACAAATGTGTGTGTGTGTGTGTGTGTTTGTAAACCAATGCCAGTTGCAATATGCCATTAATATGTGTAGACACATTTGATTGGTATTCTCTGCAGTTAAAGATGTTATAATACAATTGATATAGTGACATGTAACTGAAAACCCCCCTCATTGAATACTACAAAAAAAAAGATTGCAGTAGAAGCAAGTGTTCACTACCTCATCATACCCTGCTTTGGACAGTAGTCAAATCCATAGTCACAATTCTAAAATGTCTCCTTAGAAAATTCCCTTTTTTGATGTCCTCAAATGTAAATGATTTAGACTCTAGACTGATAGGCCTGGATTATATTCAGTGTTGCTGAACTACATTAATGTATTTGCATTGCAATGTACCTCTGTCTTTCGTGTTTGTTTATCATGTCAGGTCTGCTAAGAACAAAGCCTCAGACCCCTTACCCATCTGAGAGAATCTTCCTGTAGCGTCTGCTTGTCCCATTCTGTGTGCAGGTCCATTCCAACAACATATCAGTCTGTGCCATTACAACATTGTGATGTTATCACATCAACAGTTGACTGTCATTATAGTAGCTACCAGTAGGCTATGTCATACTTTATTATTGTGCCCAATTTAACACAATTCGTTATGCAAGTAATGAGATCACAACTTCAAAGAGCAGAAGTTGTGATTAATGTTGCATCTTTCTGAATGGCATAGGTATGATTAGACAGAGTGGGACATTTTTACAGTTTGAGTGGTTGCACCTTACCGTTATGCGACAAGTGAATAGGTAGCCTTTCCCTACACGCTTCGGAAGACATTGTATTTACTGTAACTATGTTGACATACACTATATGTGAAACATTTTCACAAGTAGTTGAATTAATCTAATCATATGAAGATACAAAAATCTAACTGTTTAGGCCTTGAGCTATATCTGTTATACTCCACAGCTCTCATTTCTGCTCTCTTTAAAGGCTTGTTGAGGTATATGCTTTATTTCGTTAATCAATTACTGATTTATAGCACCTGGACAGAAACCTACCCACTCTACCTGACCTATGATGGTAGAACGATAAGCATTCTGATGTCTTTCATTTTTAACATTAACCTTAGCCAACTGTTGCGGTGGTCATATTTTCAGTATTGTCCCTTTGAAAACCTTGATACAGTGATTACTACTGAATGTTTTTTTTATTTTTGTGTTTTATGTCTATTTAGTTGTAATGTTTTTTTTCTTTGATTTATTATTAATTTAATGTACTTTTCTAAAATGTTGTTTAAAGTCTAAAATTACTTTGCACTGACCCTTGAGGAAAAATTAACATGTACTGTACATAAATACTTTTGGAAAAGGGATGTATTGGAATATGAACTGTAAAGATCTGTCTTGTATATGGAGTGATTAGTTTATCTGTAACTATTAAAGCAGGCAGCCAATAAAATCCACAGCTTTTGTGTCTATTGGTTTCTATTGGTCCTAACTTAGTCATTTCTATTGGTCCTAACTTAATAACAATGTCAAGTAGCCTAGGTAAAGCTAGACAACATATTCTCAGGGCCACATACTTTTGAAAAGTACAGCTAAAATAACTCAGCGAAAATTAATTTTAGTAAGGTTTCTTGAAACAAAGGAAACCACAAAGGTGTAATGTCGCCCCCACCGCCCTTACAGCCCAGAACTGTGGGTTTTGTCAATCTATGCTCAGACCTTTTAACTGTTGGTGAAAGTAAGCTTTGTGCGTCAGAATACAGCAGGGAAATGCCTCTCACCCATAGCCCTCTCTGACACACACACTTCCTTTGATAACTGTTATTATGGTCCAATATGGTCATGTTTTATTTGAAATGATTAGTGGCCAGTCATAAAGTGTTAACCAACTGCCGTTGTCACCCAAAAGCTCATACGAGTACATTAATATAGAATGACGAAAACTCAATTGGTCCAGCAAGACATACTGGTGCTGATGACAAAGCTGCTCCTTCCTGTGAGTGAGGGACTACAGGAAGCCACATGCAAAGTGTGAGGTAAAGAGTGCACATACATGGTCCTCTCAGTGGTCGCAATAGAAAATATTTCGCATGAATTTGGACAGAAGTTGCTTGAATATCTTACTACCAGTTTGGGCACTGTGGGTGAGATGTTCTTCTTTCTCTATACAACTTACATGTATGTAACTCTGAAAAAAGTCCTAGCTCTATGCCTGCTTTAGGACTCCTTGTTCTATGTAATTTGTTTCATACCATTTCATATTTTTGCTCTTGAGTCCTCAGATGAAGGAAACATACACACTCAACAACAGAAAAATGTCATATCTGAGTGCAACAAGTAATCACACAGAAACTTCCATCATCAGGAACTCAAATATAACAAATGATCTTGGTCATCCATTTTCAGATCCTATAGTAGGTGAGTCGTGTAATCATATGTAATGTGAGATGGAAAGCTTACTGTTGACGGTTACGCAAGCTCTGATGTAACTGGTGAACATGTATTTTCTCTGAAGGTGGCAGATTAAACGGGATGTTCTACATTCTAATCAGTATTTCTGGGTTTACTGTCACCATTGTCATTTTACTGGCAATTCTGTGGATGATGAAGTAAGCTTACACCACTTGTAAAGATATCAAACATTTGTACCTTTCCTAAATACAGTATCGGCAGTAGATGTGATTATTCCATACTGGATGCAACCTTACTACACCAAATACAGCTGATAACATATAATACTACTAACATGCTTCATACCCTTTCCAGGTATCGCACTATGATTCACACCATTCGAGAGCTGCGGGGTGTTGAGGGTCTATTGGGCAGAGCTCCTCCATCCAACCCCCCAGCTAGAAGTCCCCTAACCTTGAGGAAGTGTCTGGTGCGTGAGACTAGAAGCCCTCCCACACTAGAGCTTGTCTCTGTCCATCTGGGACAGGAGTCACAGGACACCAGCTTAACCACTCCCCTGGAAAGGCAGACAACCAAGTCAGCTTCTAGGTCTCTCTGGAGACCACAGCAAACGGTAAACTTACTGTGGAGAAAAAGCAACAGTGTAAAAAAAAACATTTAGCTGTGAAATGGTGTAACAGTGTAGACTTCATTTCTCAGGGTTCCTGCTTCAACACGTCTGGGCTGGGTCTACAGCAAATCATCAAAGCAGGGAGGGAAGGGGTGTACTACAAGGCTAAGATGATGCGTGGCACCTGCAAGGGCCACTTCATTGTCACCTGCAAGATTACCAAAGAGGGTTATGACACACCCATCAAGCTCACTAACACATTCATCATCTATACCAAAAAGACAATGCACTTTAATCCTTACAATAATATCAATCAATGAGTAATGCTCTCCAACCCTCACCATCTGTAGGGATTACTCACAGGAGGGTAGCCAGAGAGGTGAGCATCATGAGGAAACTGGGTACACACAAGAACATACTGCAGCTGCTAGACTGGAACATCACACAGGGTAAGAGTCACATACTACACTGAACCAAAATATAGACGCAACATGTAAAGTGTTGGTCCCCTGTTTCATGAGCTGAAATAAAAGATCCCCGAAATTTTCCAAACGCACAAGTTTTGTCACACATCACAATACCACAGATGTCTCAGGTTTGGAGGGAGCGTGCAATTGGCATGCAGACTGCAGGAATGTCCACCAGAGCTGTTGCCAGAGAATTGAATGTTCATTTCTCTACCATAAGCCGCCTCCAACGTCGTTTTAGAGAATTTGGCAGTATGTACAACTGATCTCACAACCGCAGACCACGTGTATGGCGTTGTGTGGGCGAGCGGTTTGCTGATGTTAACATTGGGAACAGAGTGCTCCATGGTGGCGGTGGGGTAATGGTATGGGCAGGAATAAGCTACGGACAACGAACACAATTGCATTTTATCGTTGCCAATTTCAATGCACAGAAATACAGTGACGAGACCTGAGGCCTATTGTGAGGCCCGTTTTTTTTTTACGTGTCTGTGACCAACAGATGCATATCTGTATTCCCAGTCGTGAAATCCATAGATTAGGGCCTAATGAATTTATTTCAATTGCCTGATTTCCTCATATGAACTGTTCAGTATCGATTATTTAGCGTTGATTGTTTCTGCATTTTGTCCCATGGCAAAAAGTGAAAAGGTGTTGTTGTGTGTGTTTTATTTCCCTTTACTCCAGCTCCTTACATGCTGATCCTAGAGTCGGTGAGCAGTGGGACCCTGCGCAGTTTCCTTCAAGTGAATCAAGACCAACTGAGCAGGGACAGTCAACTGCAAAATCTCTTCACCACAGCAGCATATCACATTGCCCATGCCATGAGACACCTGTGCTCTAACATGGTACATTAAAATCATTCTAAAAATGATGTCATATATTCCATTTTTTCCTACAGTCCTCATCAGTTCTGTTGCACAATTGTTCATACTCCAGGTGGTGCACTGTGACCTAGCCCTGAGGAACATCATGGTGAACCATTTCCCCAGAGAGGTGAAGCTGGCAGAGTTTGGACTGGCCCAAGACCTGACTCACAAAAGGAGCCATCGCAGCAGCCGCAAAGGGGACCACATGGTGAGGAGGACTGTCTTGAAGTAACCCAGACATTGTGACCAGGGCATAATGCTATCTCTAACTTGGTTGTTCTTTGTTCTTCGGTTCACAGCAAAGAGTGCCCCTGCGTTGGTATCCCCCTGAGTACTTCAAAAACAACTACTACAGCTTCAAAGGGGATGTCTGGGCCTTTGGCATTGTGCTGTGGGAGATGCAAACATTTGGTATGTTGGAAAGAGCACCTGAGATTAACTGAATGAAATGTATTCACTAATGTATTAATAATGAGTCCTTAATGATTCATCTTAATCTTAGGGACATTACCATATCCTAACCTGGAGGCTCCAGAGTTGGTGGTGCGCTACGTCTGCTCTGGAAACAGGAACTCAGTACCAGAGACATGCAGGCCAGAGATGTGAGTAATGGTCCCCTCTCTGGTAAATTTTTACATGTAATATTCCCAGGCATATCTGACTATTTGCATGATACTGGTGTGCTAGTAAATGGACCCCTTTACTTCTAGACTGCAGATGATTAGGGACTGCTGGCTGGAGCCCAACACCCAAAGGCCCTCCTTCAACGACATAGTCAGGGTCCTGGAGAACATCCTGGAGGATGATGCAGTGAGTGTGGCTTCTTCAGTTAGCATTCCTTCTGCATCTCATATCCTTATTATTTACAATTATTTAAGAGGCAATCTGGACATTCAAAATGTTACCTTTTCATGCAGTTCCTTGTGTTTGTATATTGTCTGCACTGCAGGATTACATCAAAGTGGACAACGGAGTCCTACTGGCCAATATTGAATTTGGCGACCAAGGTCAAATCTGCCCCACTCTCCTTCACAGAGACTAAATATGTGTAAATTACTTCAAGTAGCATAACATGTTTGGATGTGCATGTTTGCAAAATCTGTTTTCTTTCCCTTTACTTAGGGTAGTAGGTCTACTACAATGAAACTATATTGAATAATGCATCCTAAAAGGCCTACAGAGCCCCTCAGGTACAAATAATAAGAACATTATTCACATGATACAGTACATGACCGGTACACAGTATTTGGTTCCAATGCAACGTTTTCATTGTGTGTGTTAGAAAAGCTGTACATTAAAAGGCCTACAATTGTTAGTGATTTTGATGTGCTTTAAATCAATTTATGTATGGCATTAGCCTGGACTCTGGGTTTTGTCCAGGGGTTCATGCGAGGATTAGGGTTTGGCCTACTAAGATTTATGGACTTGAAATAAAGGGGAGTAGCTAGTTAGCCAGCTAAGTTCTTGAAAAAAGACACCACAAACACTGCTGGACACTCTAGAGACCCAGTCCCATGCCTATCTTTGGCAGCAGTGGGTAGTAACGCCCTACAAGTAACATGTATTTAAAGCTGCAATATGTACCTTTTTGGCTGACCCAACAACAATTCTCATAGAAATGTGAGTTATAGATCTGTCATTCTCATTGAAGGCAAGTCTAAGAACTCGATGTTTAAGAAGTGGTAGATCTGGTCTTTTACTTGTGCTTTTGTACACAAGTTTAAAACAGTTGAAAATACAATATTTTTGGTTATGGAAAAAAAAAATTCACAGCAGTGAAACTTGCTTGTTTTGTCACATAAAATAAAATTAGGCAAGCTATTCGATTTTAGCAACCAGGAAATGGCTGAGCGATTTCTGTATAGTGCATCTTTAAGCACATTTTCCCCTTACAAAAAAGATAGCAGTTTTGAAATTGCAGTAAAAATGCAGTAACTGCAGTCGACTGTGGTATTTTGGAAGCAGTATTTGCCGCATACTGCAGTTATACTGCACTCTAACTGCAGTTATACTGCAGTTATACTGCACTCTGACTGCAATCTTTTTAAGTAAGGGTTGGTGTCACTAGTACTTTTCTAGTTACTCTCTGTGGGCTGTACTTGTACTCTGGGAATGCGGAAGTAGCATGTTCCCGGGAGGGGCATATGTGCACTGTCAACAAGTGGTGCTGGTCATAGTGCTGGCAGGCTTAAATAATAAATGAATGTCAAATCAATTATACTAAGTTGTTGTTCTTTTTGTTTGCTGTTAAAGTTTACCATAAGGTGTAAAAAATTACCTAACAAAATTTGTTAGTAGACAATTCTGCCACTTTACAACCAGTTATTATGCTGTCGTTAGCACTACTGTAAGATTTGCTAAACATTTGTTGCCCTTTTTTTGTTAGTCTTACTGCAATATTCCTCGTTTTTGTCATTTTGAAGCTTCTGTATTGCCCTCCTCTACAGCACACTACAATTCTTAGGGTGCATTTCGTCTCCCATGATGCAATGCTCCGCCTAATTAGCCTGCAGTTAGTTTAGCTAGCTGGCTATCAAACCCAGATTAAGTTTAGTCTAAATATATTGCTTATGTCATAAATTATGAGTACATTTCAAATTACTTTTGGGTTGTAAATATATGATATGCTTGCATGAATTTCATGCTGAATATATGTTCATGTAATTGTCATCAATAAATTGCAATACCCTCAAACATAATTTGTATTTAGATGCTAACTAGCTACGCTAACCATAACACAGAGTTATTGTATCTAGTTAGCATGCTAGCTAGCCCGACTGCTACATCAGAAACAATAAGTGTTTGCAACAATAACAGCAGTTTCATCTATGGAACTAATACAAAGTGTGACTTTTACAAGTAATTTAATACAACAAGGCACTGCAACTTTGGTTGGTGATGGTGGGAGTAGATTTGCCTAATTGAATCATGGGAGTTTGAGCCTTGAACAAATATTGGAGTAAACTGACTATAAATATAATTCTATAGGTTTTTGGGCACTATTTAGAATATTTACAGATGTTATTAGACATAGACAGCCAGAGCAACATATAGCAGGGAGTTCCAATATAATCAAAACTACAGAGGGGTTATATAAATTGCTGAAAATGACTCTCCATAATTTATAGTCACCTCATGGATCCTATTTCAAAACGTCACAGAGAAGCAATTTCCGGTTTTGCTCATCACTAAACAGTCAATAGACATGAAATCATAAAATTACACTAAAACTGTGTAGGACATCACTAAATGCTTCATAATAACCACGCACATGTTGAAAGGGGCTGAGTTGTCCCTTAAGTCGGTTTCTGAACAGATACTTTTTTACTCTTAGGAGTAGTTTCTTAAGAGGGCTACTTTTACTTACACTAAAACTGTGTAGGACATCACTAAATGCTTCATAATAACCACGCAAATGTTGAAAGGGGCTGAGTTGTCCTTTAAGTAGTTTTTTGACCAGATAATGTTTTACTCTTACCAGTAGTTTCTTAAGAGGGATACCTTTACTTGAGTAAATTACAACCTAAGTAACAGTACTTTAATTTAAATACAGATTTTCAGTACTCTACCCACCTCTGATCTTCGGCTTGTCTGACTGTCATTATTTACAGAGGATGAAGCCACTACACACTGTTCTCAGGAGGGAAACGCTGATCCTTGGACTGCAGCTGTCCCTACGGACAATTTCTAATCTACGGAATGACGTTCATGAGTGACGTGTTTTTCTACTGCTGCGGTTCACAAAATGTATTTCGTTCCACGACGTCTTCAATGTCGCGAGCCATTACGTTGATCTATTTACCACTGAAATAAAGGTGGGAGGGAAAATAAAGAGTGCAAAATACAATTTAGGGTAAGTTACCATGTCATTGAGTTTTTTTTTTTAGAGAGCGTCGCTAGCACCCAAGCTAAGGGTGTGTTTATAATTGGAGAATGATAGTGCTACGAGAGTCACAACTACTAGCTACTGTAGCTAACTAGCGAACATTAGCTTGCTCGAGCTAACTAGCTAATGTGATGTATTTGACGGCTTCTAGGCTATTATACGAAATATAATTATATAGCTAGCTAATATGTGTGTCATATGTGGTTAGATATAAGTATTGATAGCATTTTTTTCAATGGTGGCAGCTTTAGCTAGTTAGCAAACTAGCCAGCTACGTTAGGTAACGTTAGCTAGCTAGTTAACGAACATTCCAAACATTGTTCTTCTGTAGGGCTGGCTAGCTAGCTAGCTAGATGACATGTCCTCTGTCCCTCATTTTTGTGTGCATAGTTGCATCTAACTTGTTGACAGGCTTGCAACGAGCTAAACATGCAGTGGGCCTTTACGAGCTAACGCGTTAGCTAATTAAACATATTTTACCTAGTTTGTGTTGCTTGTACAGCCTTGGAGTCCTGCTGGGAGGAGCTGAAAAAATTGCATGACAAGCTTTGCCAGTAGTTAACGGTTTGCAATCATATTCATGCTACATTTTATAAATCAGATGAGGTTCAAATTAGATCTATTAAATGCAGACAATTTAAACACTGATACACGGACTCTGTCTCCATACAGTTGTGTATGCTGTGTTAGACAAACACCCTTGTTAATATTTGGGCCTGATTTCCTGTTTCCCCCACATGCCAACAGTGGCTCTAAGCTCTCTGCCATGTCTTTGGAGAAGACCTCCGACCTGGCCAATGAGAACACATGCTTGTCGTCCTCGCTGACCCTTGACCTCCGCTCCCCACATAGTGCTCTGCTTGATTCTGACCTGAGCAAGAAGGCCAAAGGCACCACCACGTCCTCCACCAAGAAGCGCCACAACTATGCCACATCCACACCTCTGGACCTGCTGAATGGCACCATGGGCAGCAATGGCATCGATGAGGAAGAGTCCAGTCAGCAGCGAGAGGAGGAGAGGGTCCGGAACCAGGAGAACGAGCAGGGCCAGCACTGCACAGGGACCAATGCCAAGTGGCTCAAGGAGGGTCAGAATCAACTGCGCAAAGTGGCAGAGAGGCAGCAGGACCAGAATAGAAATTCTGACCAGGATTTGAATCACAACGAGAGCCCAGACGGAAACCCCAACCATAACTCTTTAGTGGTGGACCAGCTGGAGGAAGACAGTGAGCAGAACCCCTCTTCTAAGACCCTGAGGTCCCTGTGCTCTGACCTGAATGAGCCTCTGCTGATCAACACCTCAGAGACCCCTCATGGGAAGGAGGAAGAGGAAGAAGAGAAAGAGGAGGATGGGGACGAGGAAGAGTCTCTACTACTTCCAACAGGTGGAGAGAGGGACACAGACTCGTCTGAGGCGCAGAGTAGCAGTGAGTCTCAGAGAGATGACAGTAGAGAAGTCAAGGACACCTGCCTGCTGTTTCAGGGCAGAAATGCAGCACCCAGTGATGAGGACTCCAGCTGTATGTCACTGTCTCAGGGCAGCACAGCCAACAGCACGCCAGACAGTGACCCAGGTAAGAAGGGCAACAAAATGTCTTAACAATGGATTGGCTTTGAATGTGTGTTTGTGTATAAGATTCACACTTTGTTTTTGTCATAAACAGGAAGTGGGACACAATCCAATTGTTTTCTGGGTTTGTGGAACATTGTTGTCATCTCTTGTTTCCTAGTTATCTCCTTACATCTATCTCACTGTTCCTCCTTGTTGTATAGAGTCTTACTGGGACCGCAGTGCGTTTGAGACGGACACAGACCTGCCTGCGGGGTGGATGCGGGTCAGAGACGAGTCGGGTACATACTACTGGCACATCCCCACAGGCACCACCCAGTGGGAGCCCCCCTCTTCCCTAGAGGAGGGAGAAGCCCCAGAAAGACCATTCAGTACCTCCCCTGCCATCACACCCAACGAGGAGCCACAGGTGAGAGCTACAGGGTAGAGCGAGGGGGGCTGTGTGTCTGTGTTGAGGACATTGTTCTCGCCATTTGATAGAAGCATACATTGTCCCACATACTTTATCAGGACTGTGAATTCTGAAGAAAAAAATGGACTGAGCAAGTGGTTTGTACGTGCATTGACCCATCTACCGGTACTCAATGCCTGCCTGTGTAAATTAGGTCCTGTGCCGCACAGTCATTGTATTTCTATTAAGCACCCACCGCTAGTGCTAACTGATTTAGTTTTCTACTTCTAATTGGTCCTTATCTCTTTTTCGTATTTTCAGTTGATGTGGAATAGTCTCACCCAGTCCCGCCCCAACAGGTTTAATGACGAGGAGTTCTGGAAGGTTGAGTGCCGACTCTACTTAAAACAAACCCAACATCAATGCAGTTTGAAAACCTTTACCTAAACATTGAACAATTTACTATATCAAATGTAGAAATGTGATTGTGACTTCTTACTGTTCTTGTTTTAAATTCAGGAGGAAGATGCCATGGCTGATCAGACCCTAAAGGATTTTGAAGGAGCCACATTGCGTTATGCCTCTATCAACCTCAGGTGAGTCCTGTCCCCCCCCCCCCCCCCCCACCATGTATGGTGTCTGTTATCATTAGATGCTCTTGACTTGTGTAGATGTCAACTCACTGATAATCTGACTCATTTCACCTCCTAGCTGCTCACAATCTGAAGAAAAGGAAAAGATGAACTCGCTCATCAATGACCCAGAGGCAAAGGTATGTACTCTCACTTGGACACATGGACATAACCATCATTCCACTCCCATCCCAAACAAATGTTTCTCTCTGTCAACATTCAACATAAGGTCAATCACTCTTTCTCTGTCTTTGTGTGGCTTCATTAATAAGTGCATCAACGACGTCGTCCCCAAAGTCACTGTACATACATTCAGTGCATTCTGAAAGTGTTTTTTATTTAATCCATTTTAGAATAAGACTGTAGCGTAACAAAATGTTGAAAAAGTCAAAGGGTCTGAATACTTTCCGAATGCACTGTATCCCAACCAGAAGCCATGGATTACAGGCAACATCTGCACTGAGCTAAAGGCTAGAACTGCCGCTTTCAAGGAGCTGGACACTAATCCTGACGCTTATAAGAAATCCCACTTCGCCCTCCGACGAGCCATCAAACAGGCAAAGCATCAAGACAGGACTAAGATCGAATCCTACTACGCCGGCACTGACGCTCGTTAGATGTGGCAGGGCTTGCAAACTATCACGGATTACAATGGGAAACCCAGCCATGAGCTGCCCAGTCACGCGAGCCTACCAGACGAGCTAAATGCCTTCTAGTCTCGCTTCGAGGCAAGCAACGCTGAACCATGCATGAGAGCACCAGCTGTTCCCGGACGACCGTGTGATCTCACTTTACGTAGCCGATGTGAGTAAGATTAACATTCATAAGGCCTCAGGACCAGACGGATTACCAGGATGCATACTCAGAGCATGCACTGACCAGCTGGCAAGTGTCTTCACTGACATTTCCAACCTCTCCCTGACCCAGTCTGTAATACCTACGTTTCAAGCAGAGCACCATAGTCCCTGAGCCCAAGAACGCCAAGGTAAATTGTCTAAATGACTATCGCCCCTTAACACTCACATCTAGCCATGAAATGCTTTGAAAGGCTGGTCATGGCTCACATCAACGCCATCATCCCAGAAAGTGCAGAAAGATGGCAACTCCTGCTCAAGAAAGCACATACATGCCCGTCTGAAGTTTGCCAATGAACATCTGAATGATTCAGAGGAGAACTGGGTGAAGGTGTTGTGGTCAGATGAGACCAAAATCGAGCTCTTTGCCATCAACTCAACTTGCCGTGTTTGGAGGAGGAGGAATGCTGCCTATGACCCCAAGAACACCATCCCCACCGTCAAACATGGAGATGGAAACATTATGCTTTGGGTGTGTTTTTCTGTTAAGGGGACAGGACAACTTCACCGCATCAAAGGGACGATGGACGGAGCCATGTACCGTCAAATCTTGGGTGAGAACCTCCTTCCCTCAGCCAGGGCATTGAAAATGGGTCGTGGATGGGTATTCCAGCATGACAATACCCAAAATAATAATAATAATAATAATGTGCCATTTAGCAGACGCTTTTATCCAAAGCGACTTACAGTCATGCGTGCATAAATTTTTTGTGTATGGGTGGTCCCGGGGATCGAACCCACTACCTTAGCGTTACAAGCGCCGTGCTCTACCAGCTGAGCTACAGAGGACCTCTGGTAAACACACGGCCAAGGCAACAAAGGAGTGGCTCAAGAAGAAGCACATTAAGGTCCTGGAGTGGCCTAGCCAGTCTCCAGACCTTAATCCCATAGAACATCTGTGGAGGGAGCTGAAGGTTCGAGTTGCCAAACGTCAGCCTCGAAACCTTAATGACTTGGAGAAGATCTGCAAAGAGGAGTGGGACAAAATCCCTCCTGAGATGTGTGCAAACCTGGTGGACAACTACAAGAAACGTCTGACCTCTGTGATTGCCAACAAGGGTTTTGCCACCAAGTACTAAGTAATGTTTTGCAGAGGGGGTCAAATACTTATTTCCCTCGTTAAAATGCAAATCAATTTATAACATTTTTGACATGCGTTTTTCTGGATTTTTTTGTTATTCTGTGTGTCACTGTTCAAATAAACCTACCATTAAAATTATAGACTGATCATGTCTTTGTCAGTGGGCAAACGTACAAAATCAGCAGGGGATCAAATACTTTTTCCCCTCACTGTATGTACATATCAACCTCAATTACCTCATACCTCTGCACATCGACTCTGTACTGGTACCCCGTGTATATAGCCAAGTTATCGTTACACATTATGTATTTATTCCACATGTTTTTATTTTTGCATTGTTGGTAAGGGCCTGTAAGTAAACATTTCACTGTTAGTCTTCACCTGTTTGCGAAGCATGTTACAAATAAAATGTGATTTGATTTGAATAGGTTTTTGCAGTGCGGTCTCTGGGCTGGGTGGAGATATCAGAGGAGGAGATGGCCCCAGGGAAGAGCAGTGTGGCTGTCAACAACTGCATCAGACAGCTCTCCTACCACAAACACAACCTGCACGACACGGCTGGGATCTGGGGAGAGGTCAGAGAATGGCTTGTGTGTGGGAATATGACTGAATGATTTGTGTGTGGGAATATAACCTCAAAATGTTGGTAGAACAATGTTTAGAGAAATGTTGTGTAATGTTTCCACACAGGGAAAAGACATGCTCCTTGTTCTGGAGAATGAGATCTTGAACCTGATTGATCCGTTGGGCCAGACTCTGCTGCACACCCAGCCTATCGTCAGCATCCGAGTGTGGGGAGTGGGCCGGGACAACGGCAGGCCAGTCCCTGCTACTCTAACTATATTTCAAAAAAGAAAAGAAAAAAATCTACAAATATCAGTTTTTGCCAGTTTGCTATGGGAAATGTTTCTTATTTTAGTTTTATTTGCCTGGCTTTTAACTGAAACTCCATTTGCCTTACTTTGTGAATCCTGCTTTGTTTGCTGTTGAATTGATTGATTTGGTGTTTTCTCTCTAACCTGCTGCACTTGGGCACACAGGGAGAGGTAGTGTATTGTTATTGTTGTATCCACCATCTTCCGTCATGTCACGTAGGTTATGGTTGTCATAGTTACGACATTGGCTTGTCAGTTGTTGATTCCTCACCCACATCCCATAATGCTTGATGTTTCTCACTCACACCCATGACTTTCGATCAGTTTCTCTGTGTAAGTAGCACCTATATACTGAGTGTACAAAACATTAAGAACCTTCCTAATATTGAGTCCCCCCCCCCCCCTTTGCCTTCAGAACAGCCTCAATTTGTTGTGGGATGGACTCTACAAGGTGTCGAAAGCGTTCCACGGGATGCTGGCCCATGTTGACTTCAATGCTTCCCATAGTTGTGTCAAGTTGGCTGGATGTCCTTTGGGTGGTGGACCATTCTTGATAAACACGTGAAATTGTTGCGCGTGAAAAACCCAGCAGCATTGCAGTTCTTGACACAAATTGGTGCACCTGGCACCTACTACCATATTCCATTCAAAGGCACTTAAATATTTTTGTCTTGCCCATTCACCCTCTGAATGGCACACGTACACAATCAATTTCTCAATTGTCTCAAGGCTTAACAATCTTTCATTAACCTGTCTCCTCCCCTTCATCTACACTGACTGAAGTGGATTGAACAATTGAAATCAATAAGCGATCATAGCTTTCACCTGGATTTACCTGGTCAGTCTGTCATGGAAAGAGCAGGTTTTCTTAATATTGTACACTCAGTGTAGACTAGTTATCAATAATAGTCTGACTACGTTAAGTGTTCTCAGTCCTAATTGTGGTTACATTTGTTCATTGTATTCTTGAAAACGTACACTATTAGGTTGATCGTTCTCTTGAGTAGAGACTGAACAATATTGGTCAAAGATCCTGATCAGTATTGACTGATTTCAGCATTGTCCATTTCATCAGCCTCATTTGTCACGATCAGCCTTCATAACAGCCTCTTTCTCTGATACCTCTTTTTGTGTGTGTTTGTGCTAACTTTAGGGACTTTGCCTATGTGGCGAGAGACAAACTGACTCATGTTCTGAAGTGCCATGTGTTCAGGTGTGACACACCTGCTAAGAACATTGCCACAAGCATGCATGACATCTGCTCTAAGGTAAGCCCATCTGCTATGGTGCACTGCACCATACTTTGGTCTCCACATTTAACTTTTTTCAAATGTTGAAATTAAGGCTAAACTGTGTCTCTCTTGTCTTTCCTTATCTGTAGATAATGGCCCTGAGGAAATCATCCAAGTCCTCTCTGAACAGACTCAACATAGACCCCTCTAAACTGGTGGACATTCCTTTCCAGGGTAAAACACTGGCACTTACTGTATGACTATATACTTAATGTATAATCTGAAACCAAATGTATCTATGGGCTCCTTCAGGTCCTTCTGTCTCTCTCTCACTCTGTCCTCTATTCTCCCTACAGAATTCCCTGCACCAAAGAATGAGCTAGTCCAGCGCTTCCAGGTATGCTACCTGGGTAACGTGCCGGTGGCTAAACCCGTAGGTAAGGAACGCTTTGGTAAGGAATGCTTTTTCTTCTCTTTCCTAGCTGTTGTGTTGGTGTATCTTGTGGTGTTTTGAATGATTGTTTCAGGTAAACTTGTGTGTGTTTCTCGGTCACTGCCTGTATTTAACCTTCCACTTGTCCTCCTGTATGTTGGTACTGTATTTAAATTAATGCTAACTTTCTACTAAGTTCGGTTTCACTCAATGAAATGCATTCAATACACATTTACTTTACAGAATGTGTCTCAAATTATTGTATGTATTTCTCTACTAATTTCTCCTACAGATTGTCATACTGATTTCTTACTGTGTGAAGTCTCGACTTCTATGAGCTATCCTATTGTTAGGGATATTGAACTTTTAACTCTCTTTGTTTTCTGTGAATTATGAACTAACACATTTCCTGTAATTCCTTCCTTCCATTTTCCTAATATTATCAGGTATTGAGTGTACTCAGACAGATGCATTTGGAAAGTATTCAGACCCCTTTACTTTTTCCACATTTTGTTACGTTACGGCCTTATTCTAAAATGGATTAAATAGTTTTCCCCCCTCATCAATCTACACACAATAGCCCCATAATGACAAGGCAAAAACAGGTTTTTATAAATTTGTGCAAATGTATATAAAAAAAACAAACACCTGAAATATGACATTTACATAAGTATTCAGACCCTTTACTCAGTACTTTGTTGATGTACCTTTGGCAGCAATTACAGCCTCGAGTCTCCTTGGGTAGGACGCTACAAGCTTGGCACACCTGTATTTGGTTTCTCCCATTCTTCTCTGCGGATCCTCTCAAGCTTTGTCAGGTTGGTTGGGGAGCGTCATTGCACAGCTATTTTCAGGTCTCTCCAGAGACGTTAGATCGGGTTCAAGTCCGGGCTCTGGCAGGGCCACTCAAGGACATTCAGAGACTTGTCCCGAAGCCACTGCTGTGTTGTCTTGGCTGTGTGCTTTGGGTCGTTGTCCTGTTGGAAGGTGAACCTTCGTCCCAGTCTGAGGTCCTGAGTGCTCTGGAGCAGGTTTTCATCAAGGATCTCTCTGTACTTTGCTCTGTTAATCTTTCCCTCCATCCTGACTAGTCTCCCACTCCCTGCCGCTGAAAAACATCCCCACAGCATGATGCTGCCACCGCCATGCTTCACTGTAGGGATGGTGCCAGGTTTCCTCCAGACGTGACGTTTGGCATTCAGGCCAAAGAGTTCAATCTTGGTTTCATCAGACCAGAGAATCTCGTTTCTCCTGGTCTGAAAGTCTTTTATGTTTCTTCTGACAAACTCCAAGCTGGCTGTCATGTGCCTTTTACTGAGGAGCGGCTTCCGTCTGGCCACTCTACCATAAAGGCCTGATTGGAGTGCAGCAGAGATTGTTGTCCTTCAGGAAGGTTCTCCCATCTCCACAGAGGAACTCTGGAGCTCTGTCCGAGTGTCCATCTGGTTTTTGGTCACCTCCCTGACCAAGGCCCTTCTCCCCCGATTGCTCAGTTTGGCCAGGCGGCCAGCTGTAGGGAGAGTCTTGGTTGTTTCAAACTTCTTCCATTTAAGAATGATGGAGGCCACTGTGTTCTTGGGGACCTTCAATGCTGCAAAACATTTTTGGTAGCCTTCCCCAGATCTGTGCCTCGACACAATCCTGTGTAGGAGCTTTACGGACAATTCCTTCGACCTCATGGCTTGGTTTTTGCTCTGACATGCACTGTCAACTGTGGGACTTTATATAGACAGGTGTGTGCCTTTCCAAATCATGTCCAGTCAGTTGAATTAACCAAAGGTGGACTCCAATTAAGTTGTAGAAACATCTCAAGGATGATCAATGGAAACAGGATGTACCTGAACTCAATTTTGAGTCTCATAGCAAAGGGTCTGAATACTTATGTAAATAAGGTATTTCTGTTTTAAATGTTTTATACATTTGCAAAAAGATCTAAACACCTGTTTTCGCTTTGTCATTATGGGGTATTGTGTGTAGATTGATGAGGATTCATTTAGAATAAGGCTGTAAAGTAACAAAATGTGGAAAAAGGGAAGGGGTCTGAATACTTTCCGAATGCACTGTAGATGTAGCTACTAGCTAACCTAGGTGGTTGTTATTCCTATCCAGGTATGGACCTAGTTAACGTTGCCCTCGACACAGCAATGAATTCCAAAGACAAGGAAGAGTGGACGCCAGTAACTGTGAACGTGGCTTCAGCCACACTTACCATAATCACTGCTGAGGTGAGCACACATATAGATGGTCACACACAAATGTACACACAGAATCTCAAAAAAAATATATATTTTTGAGGTTGTTTAAATTGCTGTGGGAATAGAACCCAAGGTTTACTGTTGTGTTCCCTGCAGACAGAGGAGGTTCTGTCAGAGTGCCGGGTGCGGTTCCTGTCTTTCATGGGTGTGGGGAAGGACATCCACACCTTTGCCTTCATCATGGCCGAGGGCTCCGGGGACTTCATCTGCCACATGTTCTGGTGTGAGCCCAACGCTGCCAGCCTCAGTGAGGCCGTGCAGGCGGCCTGCATGGTGAGTGCACCATTTCCGTCAGCCAGTAACTGCTGGCTTTTCGCCGATACAAATGCATTGTCCGTCAGAAAATATCCTATTGAAAATAAATATCCTCTCTAAATCACATTGGCTATTCATGGAGGTTGGTTCAGGTTGTCTTTCGATCGCATCATCTCTACTCTGCCTGTCTGTTTTGAGCTCACACTCTCGCTAGCAAACTTTCAACATTGTATCAACTGAGCTCTGTCCGCAAAGTTTCAAGCGCCATTGAGTTTGTGACAGCTGGAAGCAGTGTTCCGCTATTTTATGTTTTGCTAGACATCCTTATAAGATAACGTTGCTCCCTATAAGAAAATGTACAGAAATGTCATTCAAATCCATCATGGAGGAGTATTGAGATTAAGTATTTTTGCTTCCCTCCTCTACCTCTAATCTAATGCCTGGTCGTGTAGTTAGTTTAGAAATGCCCAAAACAATGCAAATCAAACTAACTAGTTGGCTAACTAGCTACTGTACCAAGAATGGCGGCACAGACAAGTGGAAAAATAGATCGACACTGAAACTGAGAATATTTACAAGCCAGATGGACAGAGACGTGCATTGTGCAAGGAGCCAACGTTCACTTGGTAGGATATCATTCCTCCTTGCATAATTATTGTAGTCACTTCCATGTGGTGCCAATGAATCGGCAGTGAGTAGTCCTAAAAAAGCATTACCCTACACATGACTGCATTCAGATGGGTTCCTATTTGATATGGCAAATTTGATTTGCAGGGATTTGACTGTTTTACTAAGAGCAAATAGTAAACATACACAGCCTTGTTGAATCCAAGTTTATATTTCAATTGTGATTTGGTGCTAATGTTGTGTGCCTTTTGACAGCTGCGCTACCAGAAGTGTCTGGACGCCAGGCCACCCAGTACCAGCTCCTGCCTACCAGGCCCGCCGGCTGACTCCGTGGCACGCCGTGTGGGCTCAAGTGTCAAGAAGGGAGTTCAGAGCCTGCTGGGCAGCTTCAAGAGGTCTGGGTCCCAGACACCCTGAGAGGTGCCAACTAACCCACTACACACCGCTCCAATCCACCCACAGGCCCAGCCCACCAGGATGTTTGGAACTCTTTCTCATTGGTCTATTAAGTGGAAACTGCTGGACTCTTGGACAGTGGTTTGAGTGACAGCAATAGTTGGTTAAACTTGGTCTAGTTTACAAAGTACCAACACTAATTATGCTTAGGAAAACAGTTCCGTTCTGTAACATTGTCTCTGCTATTTGTTTTGCAGAACAAATATAGTATATTTGTGAACATAGAAATGGAAGATGTGCAATTGAATTGTGAATGTGGTTGAACTCATGCCATTTGCTTATGGAAATATCTTTTTTTTTTAAATATATATATAGACTTGAAAGAAGTGATTTAGAAACAGTGGCATGAGAAGTCTATATAAAATGCTACTTGGTGAATGTCTGAGTCTTGAGCTGGAAGCACTAAGACATGCTAGCTAGCCAATATAATATTCGGCAAATACATATTTTGGGGTATATATAGTTTGTATAGTACATTTTGTTATAATGCCATTTTGTTTTAAATCCCCTCTTCCTTCCGGGGGAGCTGGTAAACCAGCAAGTGCATTATCTTTATTTTATAGCAGAAAATGTATGTATGTGTATTGCAAATTGCAGTAAAATGTGTATAGTTCATCTCCTCAAATCTAAAATGGAGATGGCATACTTTTAGAGCCTGGCTCAAGTTTTAGTGAAACCTCAAGTCTCAAAGAAAACTTAGGCTGTCTGTTACTGCACTCCAACTGTATACCAAGTGGATGGTATGTTGGAGTCAAGGAAGATGGCAGCTTTCTGATGTCAAAGCTAAACGAATCGTGTTTTATGGTGGTCCTCTTCAGGTCTATTCTGTGGAAATGGGCCTGAAGTAGATTTTGTCATCCTTTTTTTATGTTCAGATTTTGTATGTTAGTCTGTTGTATAACCAAGTTTTTTATCTATTTAACTTCATTTTATTTGTATACGGTTTCTTTACGCATGTGTTAAGTGTTATAATTGTTTTCCTTTACTCCATTCTGTATGTCTGTACTGTTTTGTATGTTACATTTAGTTGCATCTGAGCAGTGACAGAGCTATTGATAGCTACCCCCTTGTCCTTTCAAACTGTTGATAAGATCTGACAGATTTTATGCCTCCTAATTAATTGGGTTTAAGGGCAGATGAAACACTACTATCGTTGTGATAGACATGACACCGTCTGTCAGTACCACACTGTTAATTTAACTCGCACTTCATTTTTGAATTTACGTTTTTAAACATGACTGCCCTCTGCTGGGCTTTAGAATTATTATTTTTCATGAGCAGTGTGTCTGACAACCCTACAGGAGTGCTAAGAAGCCTGATGCATTCAATCATCAGAAGGCATTTTGTTATGCAAAGATTGCAATACGGAAAGTGTTATTTACCCACAGACAGTGTTTGTCTATGAAAGAGTCAGACTGAAGTATGTGTGGGAGTTTCCTCCTTAGCATGCAGTATGTGTAAATCATATGAACACTTCACTACATAGAAACACAACATCTTTAAAATACACTATCCCATAGTTGACTGACTAGAGCATAGTCTTCCCTTTGTTTCTGAATGCAGTTGGTTAAAAATACGTTCTTTTTTTATTAAATGAAGATATTTTTCTAAGTGTGTGTAAACATATCTGTGAGATGGAGATGCCTTTTTAGCCTCAGTTCCTACCACTATGTGGTCACTGGTGCAGCAGTGTTTCCATATCTGTATCACCATACTAGTTATCCTCCTCCTTCACTTTATAGCTCCACATTTCTCCTCAATCTCTCATCTGTTTTGGACAGCAATTTGACCAGACAAGAAGCCATAGGTTAGGCTTTGGTTTTACACATTGAGTATTGCATTGTTTATTTGTTTGCATGATTTCCCTCACTCCTATAATTTTTACTCCTTACTCTACACGCTAAGTACTCTATACTACTTACTGTAACTGTCAGACATTGGTTGCCTTGTACAAACAGAGCTTCCTGGTATTAGTATATAACAGATTTTTTAATGCACACTGTAATATTGTAACATGCTTTGAGGCCTAAAAAATACTTAGAATAATTTTTGCGTGTTGTGGCTATAGATTTGACTACATTTCACGTGTCAAATATTTTCCTTCCATATCAATAGTGACTGTCACTACGCACGTCTCTAATCCACTTATTGCTCACCTGTTTCTTTTCTGTTTTGCTGAGAAAGCGGTTTTAACCCATTATATATTCACTCCAGTGTAGATGTCAACCGGTGGGCACACTTTGCATGGCTGACGGTATATAAGGACTGACCATAGCTTCTTAGAACAGGAGAGGACAGAGGTCCTCAGTGTGTTTCAGCTCTGTAAGGACAAATATAGGACATGACGGGAAGTCTTGTACTGGTATACGTTTAACCTACTAACAAAAACTCATTGGATTGTCGATGTAGATTCCTTGTTGTAATGCTCAAGATATTTAGGTTGCTTTGGTGACATTAAAGGATACATATTTGTCTTATTACGTATTAATCAATGCAATACAAATGAGTAATACATGCTTTTCTTTAATTTAAGATAAATGATTGAATTATTACATGTGTTGAAGATGAGAAACAGACTTGGATCCAAATGTACCGCAACACTAATATGATAGGGGTGTGATCATGTCCTCTGTCATAAGCCATGGAAAATATCTGTTCTCTTTTTAACAAACCTGAGCTCTTGTTTGCCTTTTGTTTGTTTCACATAATGTGGTCAAAGTGTGTTGTTAACCTTTCGATGTGAGGTATTTATTAAGCCTTATTAAGGAAACCTTACAATGAAGTGATACCTTTTGTTCATACTTCTGTATGTCATCCATGTGAGCATTTTTTTGGTTATGTTTTCTTTAATATCCACTGATGACTGTAATGCAAAAAAAAAGGGGGTCATTTACATATCTGAAGAATGTAAATGAGATGTGTGTGTATATATATATATATATATATATATATATATATATATATATATATATATATATATATATACACTGCTCAAAAAAATAAAGGGAACACTAAAATAACACATCCTAGATCTGAATGAATGAAATAATCTTATTAAATACTTTTTTCTTTACATAGTTGAATGCGCTGACAACAAAATCACACAAAAATTATCAATGGAAATCAAATTTATCAACCCATGGAGGTCTGGATTTGGAGTCACCCTCAAAATTAAAGTGGAAAACCACACTACAGGCTGATCCAACGTTGATGTAATGTCCTTAAAACAAGTCAAAATGAGGCTCAGTAGTGTGTGTGGCCTCCACGTGCCTGTATGACCTCCCTACAACGCCTGGGCATGCTCCTGATGAGGTGGCGGATGGTCTCCTGAGGGATCTCCTCCCAGACCTGGACTAAAGCATCCTCCAACTCCTGGACAGTCTGTGGTGCAACGTGGCGTTGGTGGATGGAGCGAGACATGATGTCCCAGATGTGCTCAATTGGATTCAGGTCTGGGGAACGGGCGGGCCAGTCCACATCAACTGTAGGACAATAGGAACTGCTGACACACTCCAGCCACATGAGGTCTAGCATTGTCTTGCATTAGGAGGAACCCAGGGCCAACCGCACCAGCATATGGTCTCACAAGGGGTCTGAGGATCTCATCTCGGTACCTAATGGCAGTCAGGCTACCTCTGGCGAGCACATGGAGGGCTGTGCGGCCCCCCAAAGAAATGCCACCCCACACCATGACTGACCCACTGCCAAACCGGTCATGCTGGAGGATGTTGCAGGCAGTAGAACGTTCTCCACGGCATCTCCAGACTCTGTCACGTCTGTCACAGTGTGCCAGAGAACCTGCTTTCATCTGTGAAGAGCACAGGGCGCCAGTGGCGAATTTGCCAATCTTGGTGTTCTCTGGCAAATGCCAAACGTCCTGCACGGTGTTGGGCTGTAAGCACAACCCCCACCTGTGGACGTCGGGCCCTCATACCAACCTCATGGAGTCTGTTTCTGACCATTTGAGCAGACACATGCACATTTGTGGCCTGCTGGAGGTCATTTTGCAGGGCTCTGGCAGTGCTCCTCCTGCTCCTCCTTGCACAAAGGCGGAGGTAGCAGTCCAGCTGCTGGGTTGTTGCCCTCCTACGGCCTCCTCCACGTCTCCTGATGTACTGGCCTGTCTCCTGGTAGCGCCTCCATGCTCTGGACACTACGCTGACAGACACAGCAAACCTTGCCACAGCTCACATTGATGTGCCATCCTGGATGAGCTGCACTACCTGAGCCACTTGTGTGGGTTGTAGACTCCGTCTCATGCTACCACTAGAGTGAAAGCACCGCCAGCATTCAAAAGTGACCAAAACATCAGCCAGGAAGCATAGGAACTGAGAAGTGGTCTGTGGTCACCACCTGCAAAACCAGTCCTTTATTGGGGGTGTCTTGCTAATTGCCTATAATTTTCACCTGTTGTCTATTCCATTTGCACAACAGCATGTGAAATGTATTGTCAATCAGTGTTGCTTCCTAAGTGGACAGTTTGATTTCACAGAAGTGTGATTGACTTGGAGTTACATTGTGTTGTTTAAGTGTTCCCTTTATTTTTTTGAGGAGTGTATATACATACATACATACATACAGTTGAAGTCGGAAGTTTACATACACCTTAGCCAAATACATTAAAACTCAGTATTTCACAATTCCTGACATTAAATCCTAGTAAAAATTCCCTGTCTTAGGTCAGTTAGGATCACCACTTTATTTTAAGAATGTGAAATGTCAGAATAATAGTAGAGAGAATTATTTATTTAAGCTTTTATTTCTTTAATCACATTCCCAGTGGGTCAGAAGTTAACATACACTCAATTAGTATTTGGTAGCATTGCCTTTCAATTGTTTAACTTGGGTCAAACGTTTCGGATAGCCTTCCACAAGCTTCCCACAATAAGTTGGGTGAATTTTGGCCCATTCCTCCTGACAGAGCTGGTGTAACTGAGTCAGGTTTGTAGGTGTCCTTGCTC